TCTGCTCACGAATATGTGCAAAGATGCATGTTCTGGGTTCAAATCATCAACTGCATAGGGAGAAGTCAGATAACAGGTGCCCAATAAAAACTGCCCAACATAGGAAATAATAAAAAGGCACACCTTTCGTAGTCCACATACTTTATTTCTTACATGCAAATGTTTTTTAACTGATCGTATTGCACGACGGAGTCATTTTCATAGAGTGACAGGACGGGCATATTAGCAATATATAGGGTGGTTCAAGTCACCAGGCTCGATCTAAAATGGACCGTAAAAATCGACGCCTGCACGTAGCCATCTAAACTTTTTGTCAAAGGTGTATTTCACAGGTCGTTTTTTTCTTGTAAAATTACAAAGCGTAGATCTCTTTTAGTAAAAAATAGGGCCAAGAAACTTGCCAGGGTCTACGGCGGGCGGCTACCCAGACGACCAAGTCCAGTAGCGGGGTGTGTTTGGCGATCATATTGATAGATGGCGTCGGGAGCATCGTCTGAAGGTGCCGGCGACCAGCGAAAAATAGCAGACGACACGCAGACGACATCCGTTGGCAGCAAAAGCGCCGCCGTTATGCAGACGCGTTTTTTACTGTAAGTTTTGCTTTTAATGTTCGCATTTATTTTTTAACAGAAGGTGCATTTCAAAAAGATCATATTCATTTTAATAAACCACGGTGGTCGCGAGATGTCGCGATAAGAAGGTAGCGCCATCTATCAATACGAACGCCAAACACACCCCGCTAGTGAACCCCTGTCGTCTGCGTTCCTGCCCATCGTAGACCCTGGCAAGTTTCTTGGCCTTATTTTTTACAGAAAGAGAGCTACGCTTTGCAATTTTACAAGAAAAAAACCGACCTGTGAATTACACTTTTGAGGAAAAGTTTATATTGCTACGGTGCAGGCGTCTATTTTTACGGTTCTTTTCTACATTCTTTTCGATCGTTAGTTTGCTTAGAATCGTCGCTCGTTTTTACATACCTGGGGGCTACGTTGCACGTTTTGGACTCCCAGGCGACTAGGGAGAAGTAAGTGACGTAGGTGTGAATGAACGTATCTAGCAGCACCACGCAACGCATCATCAGCGACTCCACCAATCAACATCCAAAGAGCGTTGTTGACGTCACTTCCTTCTCCCTAGTCTCCTGGGAGTCCAAAACGTGCAACATAGCCCCCCTGCCATGGAACATATAGGTTTGGGCCTGAAATATAGCGAAGCTGAACATCGTTCAGTGGTAAAGTAAAATGCTGTAATTAAAGCAATTACACTTTTACAATATTAATAAATGTACATACTGTCCGGTACAAATAACCGAAATAATAAAAGTTATTCATATTATTTTCCGGCGAAGAGACAAATTTCACGCGCGTTTTCCATACATAGGAATGCACACGAGCACCACAAAAGTAGACTGGTTGCCGTCTGCTTCAATTTGCCTCCTGGAAGTCGCATAGACACTAGCGCCAGTTGAACTTCTAGCGTACATTATAATAACATATAACTCTATGGGTTCGATCCTTGGGTTCGACGAACCTTCGACCTTTTAACTAGGGGTGTCGCGAACCGGCCGCGGTTCGAGTTCGACCAGGTTCGACTTTTTCGAACTTTTAGTGGAAAGTTCGTCGAACCTTGTATTGAGGTTCGACTCGTGTGCGCATGCGCGACAGGCTGGCCAGTTGGCTTCGGATTGGATGGTAATGGCTAAGAGATGAATTAAGTGCAGTGCTGATCGGCTATTTCAGTCAATACAGTACTTAAATTTAAGTTATTAACTTCTTCAGTGAATAGAATTAGTTTCTTTTAATTGCAGCTGTTCACACAATAAAATAACTCTTTGCATAAAAAAAAGAAATTCTCCAAACCTAGACATGCTTGTATCAAGGTCTGGCCACACTGTCGAACCGGTCGAATCCGGTGAAAAGTTCGAAGGTTCGTCGAACCGGTTCGACCCAGTCGAACCCCGAAAGTTCGACCAAAAATCTGGTTCGACAAAAGTTCGCGACACCCCTACTTTTAACCAGATTCGACTGGTTCGACTTTGTGTTGGACTTTGTGGACAGTGTGACCAGACCTTGCAACAAGCATGTCTAGGTTACACAAAGAGTTATTTAAATTTTATGAACAGTTGCAATTAACAGAAACTAATTCTAATCACGGAAGAAGTTAATAACTTTTTTTTTTTGTACTCTAATAACTAAAATAAACAATCAGTGCGGCCCTTAATTTATCGCTGAGCCATCACCATCCAATCCGAAGCCAACTGGCCAGCCTGTCGCGCATGCGCATAGCAGTCGAATCTCTGAGTCGAACCTGTGTCGAACGTTTCACGAGAAGTTCGAAAAAGTCGAGCCTGGTCGACCTCGATAGTGACCTCGACCGATTTGCGACATCCCTAATTATCACCTGGGTTATGTTCCAAATCTCACCCGAGTAACCTGTCTCCTACGTCAGCGGGTAATACCACGTGACACCGCGAGTAAACGATCCGCTACTCGATGCGCTCGATGCATGACTCGATGGAACGATGGAACGGCCGGGACAATCACCTGGATACTACGCGGATTGACTTCGTCTTGGGCTACGGCAAAAAGAAAGCAGCGATGGCGGAAAATAGCAGACGATCTCTTTTGCTCGATAGCGAGCGCCTCGAGCATCTCGCGTGCATGAGGATTGTTGCGAAAAGAAACCGAATTTCAAGCCGCAAATTGTGTTCTGGTTAGTTGGGCTCTCATATGTCACGTATAACTAAAAACCTCGGCGAGCATAAATACCCCGTCAATGTACCTTTAAAAGCTGCACTGCACTGGCATGTCCTGCCGCTGTTCCCTTCAGAGAGCTGCACGCTCGCGGGCTCTGTCGTTGATAACACGGCAACCATTCTGGCCAGTAACAACAATCCTCATGCACGTGAGATGCTCGAGGCGCTCGCTATCGAGGAACACGCGGAAGGTTGCGTCAGCACCCCATCTATCACCGTTCACAAAAAAGAAAGACAATACCTACAAAATGTCACGCCCCGAACAACAACAGCAGAAGCTTGTGACGGTTTAGTTAAAAAAAAAAAAGAAAAAGTGTTAATTTTTTTTGTATAATTTTGTAAAAACTATCAGTAGTAATCTTTATTAGTACATTAGGTTTATTTATTTAATAATTAAGTTGATAGTGCTTTACTTTGGCCTCTGAATGAAGAAGGAAACGCGCAAGTAAGAAGTTTGCACTAAAGCATCTATGGTAGTCAGCTGTTTGTCCTCTCCTGTCCTTTCTTTCTTCGTATTCAAGTATTATTATAAAGTTCAAGCTGATATATTTACAAGCATGTACTAAAACGCTGACTCTCAACCGTTGCTTGGGAGAAGAGCGTGTTGGTTTTGGCCATGGATGAAGAAAGAATAAAACAATTAAAACAGGGACAACACAACCACATCTTTCAACTAACAACAGACGAGTAAACTTTCAAACAGCGAGCAGAAAGGGGGAGAGAAGGAAAGGAAAGAAAAGAAACGCGAAGTGCAAGTCAGGGTGGTAGGGTTATCTCGGATTTTAAAAATTCAACCTCAGTTTTCGTCAGCAGGAGGGAAGGGTTAGACACGTTGTTTTTTGCTGTGGTCATCGCGAATGATTCTATGATTTCCCTGCCGAATCTGCTGTCATGTCCCCCCAGGATTTTTGTGTCATCAAAAAGGGGATGACAACGCAAACACAATTAAAACATGTCCCTGTTTTAATTGTTTTATTCTTTCTTCATCCATGATCTCAACCGTTATTTAGAAAGCACTCGAAGTTTTTTTTTTTTTTTTTTTTTTTGTCAGTGACGATGCTGTGTTTTCTGAGGTGGCTCCACCAGCTCCTTTTGCTCACCTTCCTCCTTTTGGTATATTGAGATCAAAATTACTTACTCCTTTCAGTTAGACATCCAAAATCTGTTTTTATCAATCGGCAGAATCGCTGTAAGTCTAGTCCAGGTTCCCTAAAGGTGCGTTCCGCGCATCATAATTAACACCGATTTTGCTTCACACGGTGTTGCGGTACAACGCAGGGGTCTTTCGAAACAGTGATATAGTTGCGTTCACTCACCCGAATATGATTACACAATCACAAAGATAACTTCCAAACCACTATATTTCTTGGGGAAGGGGATGGGGTGGGATTGTTGACTGGTCATTTACATGAAATATTCGAAGCCTTCACTGTTTTACAAATGTTATCTTTTTATTACGCACACTCTTTGAGAAAAAAAAAATACTTCCACATCATCTACTGCGTTACAACAGGTATACCTTCCAACGGAAGGTGCACTATATTGACGTGGTGCGTGCATTAAAATCAGCAATTCGCGATAACCTCACGGAAATGGCTGCACCTCATTCTCTGTCATTTCGAACGTCTGCCACCAAACTCAACGGAGCAAACGAGCTTTGACGGCTGTGGGCGCAGAAAGCAGACGACGAGCAGACGGCGAACAGATCACGTGACACATTTACTCGATTTGATCCGACGTTACCCACCGATCGAGGAGGGTAGCGCGAGTGTTTACTCCGGAGTAGACAACCCGCTTCTGGGGCGCTGGGGGCGCTAGTTCTGACGTCATCGAGTAAGCGCGAGTAAGTTTTGAAACGCCACAGTACAAAACCTTTACTCGGAGTCGGATCGAGTAAATTTTGGAACACAGCCGAAAAGTGTTTTGTTTCACCAGATGGCAGCACAATGGACCTCCAGGCGGCCCTTTTTTCCAGGTAACGTCCGCAGCTCTGCAAAGTCACTTTTCAGACGAATTTTCGTGTTTCACGGATGGTTGTCCGAATAAGAGGAGGTGCGCGTAAAGGCGGGCTTTGTTTTTTCTCCGGCGTGAGCAGGCTGTTCTGAACGGGTGGCAAACAGTCGCCGGTCGATAGGCCGTCACACAGGCCGGCGCCATCTTCGGCTGCTTGGACCCTGGTTAGGCGTAGCCGTACGCTGGCAGCGGTTCCGAAACTTGGCGGCCAATGCTACCGGCTGCTGAGGAGGATCTCCCGTCCTCCCGTCGTCTGCTGTCCGTCGCTTGGGCAGCAGGGGGCCGCTCTTCCGAATAATCTGGGACACCGTTTTGGGGGCGCTTCGACAGGGTTTTAGGCGTGGAAAGACGTGAGTGCTCAAGCGAGCGAAGGCTCCTCTTGGCTCTTTGGGCTCCTACGGGAGCTGTTCATGTCTGGGCACAAGCTGGGGCTCAAGTTATACGTGGCTTGGAGGTGACGGCATCACAACATGCCTTCCCACCTGTTCTGGCCAGGGAAAACAAAATCGTTGCCGCAAAATGCATGGGGGAGGCGTTTAGCAGCGGGTGCCTATCGTTTCGTCGACACCAACGTTTCAGCGACACTTACACAAATTGTACACGGACATTTCATCGCGCGTGTATCACTGGGGCGCGTGTTAACCTAGCCGGCCCACCCGTTCACGCCGCTTTGCGGCGAGTCTGGGGTGACGCGTTACAAAAATGTTAAACCACCTGACCCACCCGTAGCTCTAGGGAAAAAAAAAAAAAAAAAAAAAAAAACTGTCGTTGTAGCGTCGTTCGATGAACCGATCGCCACCGCTCAGCAGTCGCCACATTGGCGGCTGACGCGACCTCGACGCAATCCACAAGGCACACAGTGTCGATGATGCAAAGCGAACCCGGCGAGGGCTTGCTACCGGCACGCACTCAACAGCAATGCACATATCTATGGCCACCAGTGAATACTACCTGTACCCGTTTCAACCTTAAGCTGGCAGGACAGCAAAGGAAACAGTATGAGATGGCTTTGCAATATACTCTGGCAGCACAGTCTTTGCTGTCAGCTTCAAGGTGAACCAAACTGAGCTCCTACTGGTGTGGCTTATCCTTCGAGCTGCGAGGAATCCCCGAGCTGGTGTCGGTAGGAGTCCCTCGCCTAGGACTGCCTTGGGTACTTGTAATGTTATGGTTGCGGGGACTGGGTAGACTCCGGGTGTTTGCCCTCCCTCTGCAGCCAGGTCGTCTTACTGGACGGAAACGCCCTCCAAGGGACCAGGATCTGCAGCCTTGGCTAGGTTAGAGCTTTGCAATTGGTCGTTGGAATGATTTGCCATTCCAGCGGCCCATTTGGGGCATCACTTCCGGACAAGGGGAGCAGTTTAGTTGAGTCGGGCCGGCTGAATGGGAGATGCATTCAATTTAGCGCATGTTCTGGCTTTAATGCCCTATTTTCTAGAAACTGCACAGCATGCTTTTCTTTTCCTAGTATTGTGTATTCAAAGTTTTCTTTGGGCAGTTAAAACAGTTGGTTGGGCAGTCGAAACTGAAACTCGGGAGCGGCAGTAATCGGCCCTTATTGGCTTGTGACTTTGGCGACAATGACACTATTCGGCCACTGGACATGAGCTAAGTTGTACGGATCTCTACTGCACGATTTCCCACAAAATTGAGCGGTCGTGCGCATCCGACAAACAGCTCGAGTCGTCAGCTCGGGCACAGGCTACACAAAAACTAGAAATGTAAAGCCAGTATATCTTTAGCACCAGTTGACAGTCACATTCCAGTTCGAACTTTCCTAGAAATTGCCTTGTCATTTCGATGCATATGCTGGATATCATCCTATCATGTTCCCTAAGCAATATTAGTTTTTGTTTCGACTTAAACTTGAGCGTAGTTACCTTGCTGTTAGGTGTACTGCAGAAGAAAGGTGTTTTACGGAAGGTGAAATTGGCAAAATAGTTCTAGCTGACAGTAATTTCTCAAGTGCACCTTCTGAGGCTCCTGGGAGCGGCGTTCCCCCTTTGCCATTGCAATCTGTTTCTCCGTCTCAATAAGCCGTTTTTCTTTACTTGTGCTTTTGTTTCTGTTGTATTTTTGGTCAGCGTTTGTGCGCACACTCTGGTTGCCACACCAAATTGGGCAAAAACTTTGGCCAAATTGCATGTAAGGCTCAGTCAGTTTAGGCACTGGAGAAAATCTGCCATCTGCATTAGGTCCTCATTTCAAACTCATTTTGGCCACATTCTGCCCATGGAAAAGCACAGAGAAACGGCCCAAGCATGCAGCTGATTTTACCACACCGCTGTCTCCCTTTCCACACAATGAATTTTTTCTGCTCTGGTTGGTGCCATCGTGGCAATGAAGCATCCATTGAATAGATGCACGCACAAATGCAGTGTCTCAAGTTGCAGCGGCAGATGCCATATTCCAAATGGCGTTTGCTGAAGTGAAGGCTAGCCAAAGCCGGCTGGGGGGACAACTCCGAGAGTGGGAAGCAACCTCCCGGAAAACCCGTGACGTTTCCAACGAGGCCTAGTACTAGCTCGGGGCAGAGATTAAAATCCATTTTCTTAGAGTTTAAAGCTAGCGTTGCTTCGTTGACTTTAGCAGACGCCATTTGGAACTTCACTGGGCTCTTAAGCTGCACTCGGTGCACACCGAGGTATTCCATTGACGAGTGCAGCCTATCTGAGATTAACCCTGCAGTTGTCTGCACCGGTGCAGGCTGGTGAATGGAAGGACTATTGCGGCGTTTGTGCGTGCGTCGATACAGTAGACTGTGGGTTGCTGTGCCGACCGTTGCGAACGGACTTAATAGGAGACTGCTGTGGTGCTTAAATGCGGTGTACAAAGGAGGCGTCAAAGGGGGAGCATGTGCAGGCTGACGACGGGCATGCCGACGCCCATGCGCCTGCGGGACCTGATCCGGCAGATCCGGGCGGCGCGCACGGCGGCGGACGAGCGGGCGGTGGTGCAGAAGGAGTGCGCCTACATCCGGTCGACCTTCCGGGAGGAGGACAACACGTGGCGCTGCCGCAATGTGGCCAAGCTGCTCTACATTCACATGCTGGGCTACCCGGCCCACTTCGGGCAGCTCGAGTGCCTCAAGCTGATTGCCTCGGGACGGTTTACGGACAAGCGCATCGGCTACCTGGGGGCCATGCTGCTGCTGGACGAGCGCCAGGATGTGCACCTGCTCATCACCAACTCGCTCAAGAACGACCTGGGCTCGCCTACCCAGTTTGTGGTAGGCCTGGCCCTGTGCGCCCTGGGCTCGATCTGCTCGCCCGAGATGAGCCGGGACCTGGCGGGCGAGGTGGAACGCCTCCTCAAAACCTCCAATGCCTACGTGCGCAAGAAGGCGGCCCTGGGCGCCTTCCGCATCATCCGCAAGGTGCCCGAGCTCATGGAGATGTTCATCCCGGCCACCCGGTCCCTGCTCACGGAGAAGAACCACGGTGAGGCCACCCAATGTGGGAGACCCTAACTGCCGGACTAAAGTGCGTCCTTGACGTACTTCCAGTTTTGTTCTGTCGGGGTGCGGTCGGTTGGAGTATTATGTTTTCTTTTGACTGCGTTCCTGCGCTTCCTCTAGTCACGGGTCGGCAAAAGCTTGGCTGTTGCAGCCCGCTTGTGGCGCACTGCTCACCCGTGGCCGACACGAGTTGGTCCCTGGTGCTTGGCGAGTGAGCAGTGACTCTCCCTCGCAGGGGTGCTCATCACGGGGGTGATCCTCATCACGGAGATGTGCGAGCGGAGCCCTGACACGCTGCAGCACTTCAAAAAGGTGGGTTTCCCCTTCGAGCCAGATTAATGCCACTTTGGCTCCACATCCACTCGTGCACCCAAAACAAACCCGCACGTTGCTCTCAAAAAGCCACATTTCTCTTTCCTCTTTTTTTTTTTTTTTTTTTTTTGTGATTTGCCGCACTTGTACAAATGTTTTGCATTCACGATTTTGAAAATTAATCTAAATTTTCCCTCTTAATCGACACATTTTTGGTGTTTCGGTGGTTATAAAAATTCTCTTTCTGGGCTCCTGTTTGTTTTGATCAAACTTATACGCAATGCCGAAAAAATGTTTGGTTTTCATTAGCTCCGCTTTGAAAGTGCCACCCCCTTCCCTTTGGTGGTTGGAAACGTGCATGCACATCTGAGCACTGGGGTTCCCAGGGGGATTTTGGAGCACATTCAAAGCCACTTTCATAATGCATGCTCAGAACCACCGAGAGCAGGTTCCCCTCGCGTGTCCGTGACTGGATTGGTTGGATGGACCTGTATCAGCCTGCACCCGTGCAGAGAAGTACCAAGTAGCTGAGTTTGAGTTTGGAGTGTAAACGGTGCGACAGGTGCAAGACCCGTCCAAAGAGACTTGACCAGTGCAAGGGAGTGCAGGAAACTTTGAAGCAGGATTGTGTGCCACCTGCAAACCTTCCTTGGAGGTCTGTGGCATGTTGGTTGTCAGCCGAAAGGCAGGAGAACTCTGCTCGGAGTGTGACCTTGGGGTTCTTGATATGTCGCGAGTTTGCCCCATGTGTTTGCCCCACCTCCTGCGAGCTTTGTCCTTTCTGGGAGCCCTTCGAGTTGAGAGCTCTCGATAAACCGGCTGCATGTGTGAGCGAACATGCAGCAGACAACTCACAGACTTTGCCCGACAGCATGTTTGCTTTGTGCACAGCACCAGCCTCTGTCCTAACTCTGTGCATAGAGCAAATGGCGCCAGACAATTTTGGTGGCTCATTTATGGCCTCTTCGCTCCATGGAGTCCAGCATTAACACGTCAGTCAGGGTGGCGTCTTCAGCGCCGAGAGCGCATACACAGTTGACTCTCTCCTATATCCCCATTTCCTAACAATGCAAACAGCACTTGGAGGAGTCTGGCGGTTATCTTTGTTGTCGTCGATGGGTGCCTCCTTTGTTCTCTGCTTCTCTCCGGGGTTCTGTCTGCGATTCCTTCGTCTCAATTAGTCTGCTTAGAGCCCAAACCCTGGGACCCTCAGCAGATCCGCGTATTACCAAGTTTGCCCCTGAAGGAACTGGACATTACGTGGAAGAAGGAATGGCTGGTTTGCATCTTTGCCTTGGAGTGAGATGACCTCTTGCATTCCACTGCGATGTGGTGCGGATGCCGTTTTGGAAATGGCACTGCAGTATGAAGCTTTTGTGCTGTTTGGGTTGTGATCCAAATTGCTGTTTATAACATTGTAAGAATGGTTTGAAGGGCACTGAAGATGTTGGAAACCCATGGACGAAAAGAGGGACACAACGGTCTTTTGTCGTCCCGGATTGCCAAGATGTCGAAGATGCACCAGCCTGCCTGTACATATCAAAGAATTGTTTGGAGGAAATGCACCAGTGTAATAACAGAAGCAGGCTAGCCGATGGATGACGCCAGTGTCAGTGGTGGCAGCTGTGACGCAGACTCGAATCCAAATGTGTGAACCAAGCTCTCGGATATGGCTGATTATTGCAGCTTGGTTTGGTGATTAGTAATTACCCTAAAATACCAGGGTAGTGCCCGTCCCACTTTCACTGAAAACTGGGTTAATCTAGACATGGGCGCTTGTTCGGTCAAATCGGGCGCTTAACGTATAATTTGCAGAATTTCCAAGTTTGAAACATGTTATTAGTTGGCCCTCGAACCAAGTGGGCGCTTCTGCAGTATTTTACAGTACAGTTGGCACACGTGGCTCGCAAAAAATTTCACGCGGGCGAAAGTGGGCTACGCTCGGCGCGAAGCTCAAGGGGACGGCCCCGGTGGGAATGCGCAATCTTGCACCGGAGGTGTTCTTTTGAGGAGGGAGCTCGTGCCAGACATTGGCAACTTCGGTCGCACATTTTTTTTTTTTTCCCAGTTTATTTGTCAAGTGTGGCACTGACGAAAAATCCTGGCAGAAAGAAGTGTGCGAGGGAGGCCAAACTTTGCGCGATCTGACTCGCTCAAGACGACCAAATTGTACGGTGGGATTCTGAAGGCAGCCTGCGTGTCGGGTGGGAGGGGTTGTCATTCACAGTGCCAGTCCAAGTGTTGGCTTCCTTAGACAATAAGTTGTGTCGGTGAACACGAAGTGAGGTATCAATGTGTAGAGCCGCATAAAAGAGGGCAAACTTTGCTTTTCTACCCGAGTCTGGGGTATCGCCATTATGAACCTGGAATACTTTGGGCTGTACCCGAAATGGATCGAAGCCAGTGGGGACATCTGGGAGATGTGGAAGGTCCCGCAGCAGTGAGGGGACGGCGCCGTGCCTTCCGCATGTGTGCTCAGACGTCTTGTAGATCTGGCTACCTGACCGGGAGCGTGTGTGGCACATAGGCAGTCTGGACGTGAGCGCTCTGCAGCAGAGCCAGCAAGACCCGTCCATGCAGTGCCAGAACAATGCCCCCGACATTGTTGTGGCACTGCATGCATGGCCGGTTGTGTCCTTCCCAACGGGATGGTGCACACGTTGAGTAACACCCGGCAAAATTTCTCTATAACAGCAGGCACGAGAAGGCTTTTTATGCTGCAATGTCCCGGTGACCTGCGTGCATAATTAGTTTAGATGCCTATTTTATGCCTTACATTTAAAGGGATACTGCAACGAAATTTCAACACTTTTTCTTTGTGTATTCGGGTTCAAGGGAGCATTATCATTATTATCACCATTATCATCATCATTATTATCACTAATCGCTCGTTGAAAAGACGCGAAAAGGAATTTTAAAACTAATTAAACGATTAGCAAAGAGCACCTGGTGGATGTCGCTAACGCCTCGTTTGTAATGCCCGTCTAGGAGCCTTGACGGGTGGTGACAATAACTGTCTCGCCTCCAACCACGACTTGAGAAAAGCTGAAGGAGGAGCCCCTTTCTCCCCGAGACTCTCTTTTGTGTGTCCCAGATGTCGCTATTGTCCCCCTACAAGATTATAGAAGATTAACCCGTCACATAAAATTCGTACAAAGGCAGCTTTTGGATTACTTGCCGTGGCCCGATCGCTAGTGTGCTTCGGCTGCTCTCAGCGGATGCTACGAGCCATCGGAGCCTATCCAAGGCCGTGTGAATGTCACGTCACCTTGGAAGAGGGGGCACAGCAACGCGCGGAATTCATATCACGGGCTACGTCCACAGAGCGGGATTGGCTGGGATAGATCGCAGGGCGTCTGCTGCGTCTGTACGTAAGGTCCCGAGACAAACTACGTCGCGATTGCGGCGAATGTTACGTGCTCTCCACTGGCTGCTCTCCGAGCGTTTCCCAGAGTGTGCTGTTTGTAACGAAAAATACAGGCATCAGGCTCAATATACAAACTTGTGGTTGTCATTTACGGATATTGTGGATCATATTCAGCCCATTTGTAAACACGACGGGTATATTTCAAATTTCGTTCATGTATCCCTTTAAGAAAGAATTCTAGCAAGAGGGTTTCTAAATCTCCTTGTCTATGGGAGAATACCCGTGACTATGGGAGAATTCCAGCTGGGCCTGATTGTCCGCTACTACATGCTGAATAATCTGCGCCCATCTGCACTCAATCTGGTTATATCCCTCTTCAGCAGAATATGGGACGAGGGACATTTCCCATCAGTATGGATAATGGCTACAATCATCCCTATGCTTAAACCAGGAAGGAACCTAGATTGTGCTACTACGGTAGTTACAGGCAAATAGCGTTGCCAAGCTGTTTTTGTAGAACCCTCGAAAAAATGATTAATAGGCGGTTGATGGGCACCTGGAAAATCATTGCATCCTGGATAAATACCAGTGCGGTTTCCGCTCATTCCACTTGACACAGGATCCATTGGTTTGATTAGACAATACTGCCTCTTGGTGTTTTTCAATCGGGAAAGCATATGGTAATGCTTGGCAGCATGGACGTTTGAGTGACTTGATTGACATTGGTATTTAGGGCTACATGTTCCATGCCATTGAAAGCCATTTAGGTAGACACTTTCCGGGTAAGGCTGGGGTCTCCACACTCGCGGTGGTTTGTGCTGGAAAATGGTGTTCCGCAGGGCCCAAATGTTACCCTATATTATAAAAACCAATTCTCTCGTGCGTGCTATACCACCATCAGTCCACTATTTGCTGTATGTAGATGCTTTCAGATCTGTTTTCTCATGTAACGATTCAATCTGCGAGCGCCGTGTTCCAACCAACTATTAATGTGACAAGGTAGGCCAACAATATCCATTTTAACCCCTTAAAGGGGTACTCCGGCGATTTCTTCATGGTCCCCGATTTGCTTGAAATTTTGCTAAACTCGCCAAGCAACATCGCCAAAATAGTATCCCATATATTAGGTCAAAATAATTTTTTTTTTTTTTTTTTCACGAAGTTATTGAATTTACAATTTTGGTCCTCACCGTGTTTTTCAAACTGAAATTCTGTACTGGCAACAACGGAAAAGTGACGCCAGTGGAAGTGCAGGGGTTCACTTTGGACTGTAGAATTTGTTCCCAACTGATTCGAAGCAGTTTCATGGTGTCAAATGAAAGCTTCCCGCGCTCCAGCACAGCCGCCTCGGTGGCTCCGAGGCGAGAGCGCCGGCCTACGGATCCCCAGGTGGCGGGTTCGAATCCCGACCGAGGTGCCCGCAATATGACGGAGGCTTATAGCGGAGAAGGCGCCGTGTAACCGAGCTTTCGGTTGCACGTCAAAGATCCCCAGGTGGTCCAAATTAATCCTCAGTCCTCCGCTGGGGCGTGCCAGATGCCCGTCATTGGTTTGGCACGTAAAACCCCCAAATTTGACTTTTTTCGCGCTCCAGCACGGAACAAATGATTGGCATATTCTATTTTTTAGACTGCTCGCTCGACTGGCAAGCTTGCCTTCCACTGATGTCACTTCACTGAAAAGTGTGGGTATATTTGAATGTTGGTTTTTGAATCATTTTCATTTGCCGATTTTGCAATAACTATTACGGATTTCGCGATACTAAATAGCATACCGGAAAGGGTAAAGGCCGGGGAGTCAGAAAATATAGTTAGTTGAGGTAGCTCAAAAATCGCCGAAGTACCCCTTTAAAGGGCAACTCCGCTTAATTTCAAAAATTTTGAGATAGTGGCCGATTTTGCTTTTTGAAGCACTCAAAAACAATCCCCAATCCTTTGTTACGCGAAAAATGAAATATTTTTCGCGTAATTTTACTCTAGCCATGATCACAAACCGAAACGGTGGCAAAGCCGGACAACATTGTATATTCGGCATCACTAAGCATGTACACCCACGTGTTATACAAGGGGAAGAAGGAGCTCCCCTCTTATCAGGATCCTCCTTTGTGCCTCCTGGATTAGCACAGGCGTCGCTATTCTCCTCCCAGAAGATTATAGAAGATTAACCTGTCACTCAAAATTCTTACAAAAGCAGCTTCCCTCTCCTCCTTTTACTTGGTGTTCAAAAGTATGCGATGTAACAGAAGCCACGCTCAACGAGGCGATCGGCTTATCAGTAGTATCAATAGTCGAGCGCCGGGCCGGCCGAGCGCGTCACTCACGTCGTTCACGGCGCTGGCGCCACCCGTGCTCTCCCCGGGAAAGAAAACAAAATTGAAAAAAAAAAAAAGAAGCTGTACATGCTTGATGACGTCGCGGACGTGCCGGGAGAAGGAATTTGGAGGAAGCGGAAATGCAGCCGGGCAGTGTTGTCTGGCCCGCACGTCTCATCCAAAACCAGCGGATTCGTGCTTGTCAAACTTTGACAGCGATTTTAATGAACTTCTAGGCGGAATTCCGTCGTAATATTTGCCATGGGGGTTTTGTAGATGATATCAAAGAGAACTGTATAGTTTTGCACTACTGGAAAAGAAGCGGAGTTGCCCTTTAAGTGCCAACATTTTTTTTTTCTAAAAGTAACCTAAAAGTGCCAGATTTCTTTTATTTCAAGTTGTTATTCCTCTAGTATTACACATTAAATTTGAAAAGTTTATTTCGCAAAAATCAGCTGAGGCGAAAAAAATATTTGCCAACTAAAACGAGTGCTGCCTGCCATCTATGATCAGCGCCGCAATACTACTCGTCCGAGTAGTATTGCGGCGCTGATCATAGATGGCAGCACTCGTTTTAGTTGGCAAATAGGGCTATTGAAAAAACCACTGGACGAGCTAAGCTCGTCCACGGCATTTTTAGCCAGAAAGTGGCCGACGAGCTCGGCTCGTCCAAGGCACTTAAGGGGTTAAGTTCTCCACCGAGCAAACTGCTTCTTTGTTTCTCACGAAAATGTGATGTGTTGCCAATGACTTTGTTAACCATATACAATGTACCAGTTGAGATAAAAAAAAGAGTATAAGTTTCTAGGGCTTAAATTTAAATCTAAGCTCTTTCTGAAAACTAAAATGCCATAAATCCCTTCATATTCTGATAGCTGTCTCCCACATGATTGGGGGTTCGGATGGTTTGTGCCTGCTAAGAATCTATAGGTGGATTGTACGGTTACGCCTGTATTACGGATCAATGAGGGCATCAACACTGAAAATTCTGTCACGCATGACTTGCCACCGGTGCGTTTCGTACATCCCCTGTGTCTATGCTGAAGCTAAGGAAATATCCCTGGAGGCGAGCTGTCCTATGTATTCCCTTGAGATAAGTATCGCAACGTCTGTGTTGAGTACTACTAGTCAAGGGAACAAACAAACCTTCCAAAGTATTGCGGAACAAGACACCGCCGCTGTCTCGGCTAGCCTTCAGACCAACCCACCTGTTGCTCAGCTTTTGGGAACACCTTGAGAGCATAGTTTGCTCATCATAGACACTCACTGAGTACACTAAGGAAAACACTGGAAGTCTTAAAACGGGAATTTTTTCAGCTTCAAGATCCAGCCTTTATGCTGGTGGCACAAAAACTGAATCTTCCGTCGGCTCTTCCGGGGTCGGATCATCACTTAAATGTGCGCCAAGGATTAATTCCAGTGCAGCTATCAGACCACATCTTCAAAAAGAGGTATCCATGCTCTGTAGTCTACACTGATTCACTAAGTGCTCTGATCACTCGATATAGCGTAAAACCCTCTAATCACTCAGCTGCAATATAAAGTGGTTGCTGCAGCTGTGAAAAATAAATTGCATCTTTTGCTGGGTGCCACATGGGTGTACCTGGCAATGAAGGTGCTGATCGTGCCGCGTCTCCTTTAAAGAATGTAGATTCACGACATACCCTATCAAGACTACAAAGCAACCATAAAGAAAGCATTGGGTGTGAGTGTCAAGAGGAATGGGCCTTCCGAGCCAACGACAAACTCCATGCTGCGAAGCCAATGAGGAGTGGGCGAATGCCCGTTGTGGACCGTTTTTTCCAGATCTGCTTCGCCGAGAGCATCCACCCACGTGTGATCACTGTTCAGAACCATTATCTGTGGTGCATATACTTCTTGAGTGTCCCGCATATCACAGATGCTGCCAATTCCACTTCGCCCAGTTTTACTCGGCACACATGCCTTTACACCTTGCTCTTCTGCTTGGAGATGAACCTTTCATACATGTTCTTAAATTCCTAGAAAGCACCGGACATTTACGCCGACTTTAAACTTCCATTGCAACATTAACTTTTTCATCTACATTATTTATATAAAGATTATCCTTTTATCCTATCACTAGCCACTAGAGCCCTCTTTCTTCTCTAAAAGCCGTTTCTTGAAATAGTTGAAAATTTTGACGCTCTATAACCTTGGATGCTTTTGTGCCAATAAAATCCAGTTAATCAATATGTCAGTCATACTTAGAAAAAGGGTGTCGTCTTTTTCCCCTTTCTGGGTTTTTTCAGCACGATTGTGCTCCAGCTCGCATTAACCCTAGTTTCTTTTCCTTCAAACAAGGTCGCACCGAAACAAATGCTAAATATGAAACTATCGCGTTTGATAGTTTATTTGCAAAGGACGAATAGCTCTAGGGTGGTTTCATTTGAAATTGAACACTTGTCTCAGGGTGTGGGTATTTCGACTGGCTTCAAAGATCTCTATATAACAAGCCCATGTCCGTAATAAACTGAAATTTTGTTGTCAAATGTATTTATTTGATGAAGTGAAGCAAGGTGGGTGGGGCTGCATCTCTAAGAGCGAGGTGGCGAGGCCTCCCAGGGACCCGTCGAGTTGTGTTCCACAAAGCCCGCTCGTGTCTGGGTGGCATTGAGCTGCAGTGTGCTCCATCCCCGGATGGTTTGGTGCAGCTTTGGTAGCTCGTTGAGGGCTCTCAAAGCACACTTTCCGCTAGCCAGAAAAGCTTGTGAAACATATGTAGTGGCGTGTGCGTCCATTGTGAGCGAGGACACAAACCGACGGTGCCTTGGCTCTCTTGTGTTTGGGAGGCCGGGCACTGAGAAGGAGCGCGGCGGCTACGTCCCGAGCACGCTTGGAGACTCCGTCCGAGGACGCCCGGGCAAGAAGCGTCCCAAAGCGGCCGAGCTGGAGGGGTGACCACTTTTCACTCGCCAATCGAGAGTATTTGGCAGTGACTCTGCTCCGGTGTCGACTCTCGTCGTTGGTGCCACGCCGAAGGCCATTTTGTAAGAATCGTTGGATGGTGCGCAGAAGACGCTCGAAGCAAAGTTGGCGAAGCTCGTATTTTGACAGGGGATGTCAAAATATATAAACTGCTCTTTTGACGGAGGAGATTAGGGTTCTAAAAGATGATGTAGTTGCACTCGCGGAGTGGAGAGAATGGACGCAAACACCGGGGGTTACGTTGCGGCCAATGTGGCCAAGGGCTCTTTGGAAGCGGGGACCACCGCTGCCAGGGGCCAACCGGAGGAGGCAGCCTGGGTCTTGATGCTGTCTCTCTCTCTCTCTCTCCCCCCCGGCTGTCGTTGGACGGCGCCAGTCCGACGAGGTACTGCCTGCTTCCACTGCTCGGCATGCCGCCTGCCTGCCCCTTGCCCTCGCGGGAGGCGCCACGCGGTGCCCGCCCGTCCCTCGTCCAAGGGATCCCGGTTTGGGGAGGCCCCGGCAGGGGGACGAGCGCCCGCGGGCGTCTCCGGGCCCACTCCCCGGGCCTTTGGGGTGCCGGTCGCTCGATGGTCCGTGTTGCGCGGGAAGCTTGTCGAGGGAGCACTCCAGAGCAGTGGCAGCCGACCCGCAAGGTTTTCCCGTGGTGGGTGGCCGCTGCTCGGGAGCGCTCGTCGCTTGGAGAGAGGGCTGCGTGCTGGGTTCGGACGGTGCTCTCCTGTCGGTGGGTGTGCATCCAGGGGGGTTTCCTAGCTTGCCTAGACGGAGATTGGACGCCTGACCGGCGTTCGGCTGGCTCTCTGGTCGGATTGGGTCCCTGCCCAATGCCAAAACGTTAATCTGCCCCGCGCTGGCTTTCGCTAATCTGGCGCTTGGTTAATGGGGCCGGATTATCTTAGAAAATGAAACGGCTACTCGAAAAATGAAATAATGCTAGTTGATACACTTGCGATTGCTTACCACAGGCTTTTAGCCACTCCTTTTAGGCAAATTGTTTCTTCTCAGTGAAACGGCCTGGGCGAAAATGAAGGTTTCACGAGCCGTCCGAGACTTTTTGCCACACTCGCGGTGGGTTTATCCTGCCACACAACTTGTTTATTAGATGGTGGTGTTCTTAGAAGTGTCTCCCCAGATGATACTTGCCATACTTGTTGATCACTCTGATCTTAATATGTGTGTTATGTATGCTATGTGTATGCTAGGGCTGGGGTGGAAAGTGTGAAGAGTGTAGCACTTACTTTGGAGGGCACAAAAGCACTGATATTTGATCAGAAAGAACCCAATCCTAAATGCAGTCTGACAGTATCGAACCTATTGCCACTGCGCTGGATGGGAGACTCAAGAAGTGGAAAACAAGACTCGTATGAACGCGCGAGCCTGTGTTTGCATTCCCACAGTGAATAGGTACCCATTCATTCTGATCAGAGCTCAGCCTCCCTCTACATAATGCAAGTGGAAAGGCATTCAGTCTATGCCAACCTTATCCGTAGGAGGGAGGTCTTCCTTTTGTCCCCAGATATTCTGCTCGTGGCACGAGGAATACATGTGGAAAGTCTTTTGCTCGTATGAGACCTCTTGGAGCTCGAAGGGAGGAATTGTTAGCTGCTCGGTTTTCCTCTCTGGTCTGAAATGGCCTATTATTTACACTCGGGTGGTCATTCTTTCGACACTAATGGATACTTTTAGAGCAGTAAGCAATAACGACCGGAAGCCTGCCAACCGAACCTGGTCGGAGCTAGCTGGTGCAGCGCTTGGGAGCCGAGAGGACGGCCCGGGGAGTGGGGGGGGCGGGAGGAGGGTGATGGAGTTTCCCCACGGGTGGCTTGTGTGCGCAGCTGGTGCCCAACCTGGTGCGCATCCTCAAGAACCTGATCATGGCGGGCTACTCCCCGGAGCACGACGTGTGCGGCGTGAGCGACCCCTTCCTGCAGGTGGGTGGGGCGGCCTCCCGGAGGGACGGCCCTCACGCCTGGCCCCTCACAGGTGAAGATCCTGAGGCTGCTGCGGCTGCTAGGGCGTAACGACCCGGACGCGAGCGAAGCAATGAACGACATCCTGGCCCAAGTGGCGACCAACACGGAGACGAGCAAGAACGTGGGCAACGCCATCCTGTACGAGTCGGTGCTCTCCATCATGGACATACGGTCAGAGAGCGGGCTCCGAGTGCTGGGAGTCAACATTCTGGGCCGCTTCCTGCTCAACACGGACAAGAACATCCGCTACGTGGCGCTCAACACGCTGCTGCGCACGGTGCACGCCGACTACACGGCGGTGCAGCGCCACCGCAACACCATCGTGGACTGCCTCAAGGACCCCGACGTGTCCATCCGCAGGAGGGCCCTGGAGCTGTGCTTTGCACTCATCAACACGCACAACATCCGGGCCATGACCAAGGAGCTGCTGGTGTTCCTGGAGAAGGCAGACCCAGAGTTCAAGGCTCTCTGCTCCTCCAACCTGTTCATTGCGGCCGAAATGTGCGTCCCTAACCCCCCCCGCCCGAGGAACTCCCCAAAACACGCTTTGTGTGCAGGTATGCTCCAACCAAGCGGTGGCACATCGACACAATGATCCGGGTGCTGAGGACGGTGAGTGCCCACCAGGGCCCTCTTGGGGCGGCCTGCTCAGGGCAGTGGGGCGGTGCAGGCAGGCAACTACGTGCGGGACGACGTGGTGGGCAGCCTGATCCAGCTCATCTCGGACACGGAGGCCCTGCACGCTTACACGGCCCAGCAGCTGTGGCGCCAGCTGGCCCTGGCGGACTGGGCCGCCACCCAGCCCCTGGCCCAGGTGGCGGCCTGGTGCTTGGGCGAGTACGCCGACCTCCTGAGCCAGAGCCCGCCCCCCGGCCAGGAGGACTGGGAGCCCTGCACGGTGAGCCTCCTCTCGATGTGCGGGGCCGTTCTGTCGGACGCTTGCCCTGTCGCAGGTGACGGAGGACGAGGTGCTGGACCTGTACCAGAAGATGCTGAGTAACAACCAGGTGCAGCTGGTCACCAAGGAGTACGCCCTGACCTCGCTCATGAAGCTCAGCGTGCGCCTCGCCTCGTCGGCCCCGTGAGTCACTCTCGCTTTTGCGGCCTTTCTGCCCGGGTCTCTGCGCTCGCCCAAGAGCCAGAATTGCTCCAAAGTTGGAACCAGAAAGGTTGCAAACTACCGGAAAATGCCGATATTCGAGAAAGAAGAAATGAATGCACGGGAGCTGATCCTGCACATTCCGGGCAAAGAAACTTGTTGATGCAATAAACACCTTGTGTTAGAATTGACCACCCGTCACAGCAAACCTCAGCTTCCGAGCTGGAATAACTATTGTGTGCGAACGAGCATCACTGCATAGGGCGGCAGCTTGCACCACCCTGTTGGCAGTGGCGGCAGCAGTGTGAGGCATGCCCTGTGTTTTATGGGTCTTTTTTTTAGAAAACGGTCACGAACGAGCATTACAAAAACTGGCACGCTGGGATGGTTCCGCACATTTATATATCAAGGTCTGCTGCCGAGAGCGGCAGGTTTTGAAGGTAAATAATAAAATAAATGAATAACAAAAAGAAACGAGCCGTTAAATTGTGCTGCACAAAGCACACTTGGTGTCATTCCCTGGTCTTTTTCGGTGTGGTCGAGCCTGTGGGATTTCTATTAGTGGCAAGGGTGTACAAACGGGCGTGATAATCTTGCCATTTGCACCGTCAGCTTTGCACCTTTTGCACAGGTGGTAACTTTAGCATGCCCACGTGCTTTGAGTCTTTCTAAAAGTTGCTCATTGGGTGGTCTTATCTGATGCTCATCCAGTGTCTAATTGAAACCATATCTTTATTTTGACTAAATGGCTAATTAACAAATTTAGTTAAAGGGACACACCCCCTGGGAGGGTCAACTTTTGAGCCCTTGGCTTAAAATTAATGAAATTTACAGGGTAGGCTGCTGGTCATGCTAGAGGGTGTATAACAAAATTTCGAGTCTGTTGGTTACATGGGAAGGAAATTAGAGTAGCTTCTATCAGCAACACGCCTACATTGTTCAGTTAGTCTATCGGAAAACTATCACTATATTCAAAAAAAGGTTTTTGCTGGATATGTAGCAGAATGCCTAGGGGGTGCGGCTATGAAAATGTTTATGTAAAAGTAATTTATTTCTATAAATTTTTTTTTTCTGCAAAATTGGTCAATGTTTTGGTGTTCTCTGTCTTCGACAAAATGTCAGCATTTTTTATAAGCGACATCCGTAAAGTAGCAAGGAAATTCCATAGTCGCATTCCTTATTAAATTTCAGTCAGGAAAAGTGAAGAACGAGCCTTCCCTATATTGCCATTATCAAATGATAGATTGACTAAAATGGAATTTATACCAAAAGTGGAACGGAGAAAAATGTGTTCAAAGTGCTCCCAACCATGCCTTTTCTTTAGCTTCGGTGGAGAGAAAATAATTTATAAAAAATTAAGTATGCAGAGTAATCTTTCTGGGAATACTCTCTAGATGTTGGTGGATGTAAATATGTCATTCTTCAAGATCAACTTTTTTTTGCAGAATTTTTTTTTTTTTTCGGGTAGTGTCTTTGTTAATTATCAGACTTAATGCGACGATTAGCCCCCTATATTATGCCCCCCTGGCCATATAACTCCTTAAGAGACTGCATTAGTGTAGCTTTCACAATTTGTTTGAACATGTAAAGCCTAAAAAACACAACCCTGTATAGTGCAACTGAGTGTTTCCTCGTCAGATTGTACAATTATGGTCTGGGTCATATTTTTTGTATTTATGTGAAAACATATATGTGAAAGCCATGTTCTTGGGAGGAGCATTCAGCTATGTATGAACGCTGTAGCTAACGTTCTTCCGGAGATATGAAATTTCGAGGCGTGGAGATTGCCAAGACTCTGGTACTTTTGCACAGCCGTCAATTTCACATTAAAACATGCACATAGGAATAATTTTTCCTCCATATTTCATAAAGTTTACAACATATACAAAGAATAATAAAACATTACAATAAAAGATTTCTATGCAAAATAAAGCTACGAAGCACTTCGCATAAACACGTTTTAGGGAGACATTCAAAAGTTATTTACCAACAAACTACTTTATATGAAAAGGTGCCAAGACGTATCAAAACGAGCATCTTTGAATGCATTTTTCGAATATAAAAAAAAGATATGCTTAACCATTATTGTAGTTGTGTTATTAATATAAAAACGCCACTGGCTTTTCTAAATGGGGTGAAATTGGACGGCAATACGATCAAGCTCGCTTATAACGAACCCGGGTACAGTGAAACATTGGATATAACGAACAAATGTTAGTTGCATGCTCCTGCTGCTACACTTTTGGTGTAATTTTATCCCCTGTCTAACGAACAAAGTGGAGGTGGCGCTGCATATACAACAACAGAAAACCTCGAAGTGCCGAGATTATGTTTTGCGAAATTTACTAGAAAATAGCCTTCCAGAATCCCAAGAGTAAATAAAACGTGTTTGCTGACTTCTCTCGCGGTGCGCTCCAGCGCTGAGCGACTTTCTCCAGGAAAAATTGTGCAACTCCGTGCTCAGGAAGTTCAGCTTGGCCGCGTTGCACGTCACGCAATAGCCATCTTGCGACGAGGGTGTTGGATTGTGACATCACTCGTTGCAACATCCCGTGTTGGCTCGTAGGGTCTGCCAGCTAGAGCGATGACGACGGCGAGCCTGCTACTACAGTGGCTGACAGGTTCCGTTTAGCTCTGCACAGTTCCGGCTATCCCTCTACCAGATGGATGGATGAATGTATGCTAATGGCGGCATATAAAGTAGCTTGCGCCCCCTAGCCTAGAAACCAAAAATCTCCCCTTGCCCTTCGTGGTTTTTCTGAGCTTACAACAAACAAAATATTTTTATTCCGTTCCATTAAAGTGTGCATGTATGAAGATTTTTACGTAAGGTTACTTGTTTGCTCAACATCACTTAATTTTATTTATTTATTTTCCAATACTACTAACCCTATTCGGGGTTGTTGTAGGGTGGTACAGTTTGAAATCTTACAAGCAAAAACAATATTCAATGCACAATTTGCGGGTCAATTTTCAACGCAAATATAGAAGTCAAAAATTAAAGATTAGTAAATAACTTCAATAGATAGTACATTGCACTTTTAAGAACAGCATAAAGTATTAGTTTATGATGAAATGTGGGCATCTAAGTAATTGAGAAAGATTTCAATAGAAGAAAAATGAACAACATTTTGAGGCAGGTGGTTCCATTCGTTAATGGTTCGGGGAAAAAAAAGAGAATCTAAAGCGGTTATTATGAGCGACATCTTCCTCATAAAGTTTGCCATAGTTGTAGCGTGTTAATCGTTTGCTTTTGTGGATAAGATAATTTTCTTTTGGTAGGTTAAAATTATTGTTGGCTAATTGGTATAGAAGTTTAAGTCTAGCCATTTTTGCTCTTTTTTCTAGAGACGAGACACCCAGTTGCCTGCAAAGTTCAGAGGGAGAGACGTGCCTACTATATTTATTGCAAATAAACCTCGCTGCCATTCTTGGAACTCTTTCTACCTTATTGATGTTGGAGACTGTGTGGGGGAACCAGCCGACGTTGGCGTACTTGAGCGTAGGATGTATTAAGGTTCTGTAGGCTAGTAATTTAGTGACAGGAGATCCATATTTTAAACCTCGTTTAAGGAAACTCAGTTTGTTTCAAGCTTTATTAGTTGCGGAGTCAATGTGCGAGTCCCAAAGCAAATTTGGACTTATGTTGAAGCCGAGGTATTTGTACCCGCAGACTTGTTCCAAGAGGCTGTTGTCTTTTATTGCTTATGGTCATAAATACAGTTTTATTCAAATATATTTCCATCTGCCAATTGTGGCACCAATTACGATGTTCCGCAGCGGACCTTAGGAGCCGTCTCGGGGAAGGTGCGCAGCTTACAAATCACGTGACTAAGCACCCTGCGCATGGCTGCGTCTCTCCCGACGGTCACTTGACACTCGCACGGCATTGGAATGGCTCATCCGCTGCTGTTCATCGTAGGGTGCAGTGGAGTTATAACAGGTTTTACGGGTGTGCGTCTCGCGCTTAACGAACGAAACTCGAGTGACGGCACGCTGGAAGACGGCCGCGTGGCGGCGCTTGTGCATGCAGTGCTCCTGTCGCTGCGACGGATTCGCAGCGGCCGACGCTGCTGCGAGCGTCGTCGCTTTGTGTGTGCGCTTTTCAACTGCAGATGTCGCTATTCTGTTGATTGCCCGTGATCGTGAGTGGAAGCCGTGATGGTGACCCTTACGCAAGTTTCAATTTGACGTCGGTGCTACCTAAGCACCTTAACGCGTGCGGACCAGATGAGACGGCGGCTCGAGTCCCTCAGTGGGACGCGTGACGGATGGTTTCGCACGTTTATTCTTCTGGCGTGTCAACGGGCGCTAGTTAGGTCTTCATTGCCAATTGGTTCTTGTGACAAATGTAGGTGTACCACTTCTATAATCTGGTTCCGTGCTGATTACTCCCTCTGTGAAGTCTTTTTGGCGACGTGTGACAATGAATGCACCACCTACTTTTTTTTCATATGTCCTTGGCATTACATTTCTGAACAGTGATTACAGTCTTGTTAATGCAATTAGTTTGTCAACTGGCTCCGCATGCAGCCTCTGTTGCCCCTTGCATCGTACCACAAAAAAAAAAAAGAAAAAAAGTGATGGAGGAATTGTGAAATTTCAGAAATTGCACTTATTTATTATGTGAATTGTATTTATTAAGGTAATAATATCTTAAAAACTTATGCATAATTGTTGCTTATTACTGTAATATGATGATTAAAAAACTAAAGATACGCACAGATGCACATCACCAGATAAAATGAACAAAGTAAAATAATAAAATGCATATATTGTGGGGTACGTACAGAGGCTTAACTGTTAGCTTCAACTAAGATCAAATTAACAAAGTATTTAGGTAAAATAAAGCGGTGCAATAAAGTAAGAGACACTTGCTTGCTAGTTTTGACTGCAAAAAACTACGACCAATAATCTTGCAAGAAAACGAGTTGCTTGAAACACAGCAAAGATTCGTAGATCTCGGGCGAAAACCATCATATAGCGAATTTCGTTTAGTACCCGTAACCCAAACAAAGCTTCTATTTTTATTTTTCGATTACCGAAACCCGAATCGAAACCGAAAACACTTACATGGTGGCTGATCTGTTGCATACTGTAAACGACTTCTTTTTCGCGGGCTCAATATTTTGCGATTTAGGTCAAAGCTGATGGTTTGGAAGAATTCGCGGGCTCTCATTTTCGCGATGCGGTGGGATCTCTGTATAGATTTTAATGTGTTAACATTTTACCGCAATTGTTCGCGGGACCCATTTTCTGCGAATTGTAGGCGATTCACTAAATTCGCGAAAATTAGGTCCTCTCGAAAATATAGTCGTTTACAGTACTTTGTTTCACCTTAGGATGGACCGCAAAGCACACTACAAACCACCGGACTCAACTCATGGCTCGGAGGGTGTCGCGCGTCCTTCTGGTTGCGCGGAGGAATGCATGTAGCATGTAGCGTCCATCGCACTACATCGTAAAATGAAACCGAGCATGGCGGTTTGACAATAACAACATTTTGGCAAACATTTCTGATAAGAAATCCCACAACGTGAGTTTCGGCCACACTTGAGTTATTTTAAAAATGCATAACCTGTGGACGAACGCCAAAGTTTGTGACTGCGGGCATGTCTTCTGGAACTAAATTGGTATAGATACAACAATCCCCGGTTGATTGACTGTTTGACGCCTGTTTTGGGGTTATTTATGGCTTCGTGTATGTCCTATCGGTACTACTATCTGAGAGGCTCTAGACAAGCAAAAAATACATTACCTATAGACCGTTCCATAAGGGTCATAGCAGAGAGGGTAAAAAGAGAAAAAAATGCTCTCGCCCGAATGTCGTCTGCTCCGCCGAGTGGGCTGTACCTAGCATCCGGCTGGCGTACAAACTCTGTTTAAAATCACGTCATTTTTGGAAATTTCAAGCGCAGATGCGCAGATTTTGGTAGGCCAGTTATCGTGTGTTACTATGCTAGATAAAAAAGACTAACAGAGACCAATTGCGCTGTTATCTGCGTGCAAATATAAAAAAAATTGGGAAAACTGTGTCAGACTGGCCGGCCTCTCCGGCGAAAAGTGAATCCGGTGGCTGTACCTTTTTTACTATACAAAGTTTGTACTGGTGTAGGCCTTTAGCGACCATGAGTGGATGTCTTAAATAATGAATAAAAATGTGCTCTCCGGCCGCAATACACGCAGTAGTTGAGAGTAGTGTTGCCGGCTGACTCAACTGCTATTTAAGTAACGAAAAAAAGATATGTCAGTTGATCATTTACCGAAGTAGAACAACAGAGAGCTCTAGGCTGATTTTGGAGTAGCCATAATTATTCTAAGAACGCGAACCACTTCATAACGGCAGCCACGAGCGAGAGTTCAATGTTCCGTACAGCCCGCCGATACAGCCCAAAGATGGAAAATGGCAACCTCCCGGTTTGTCGTCTGCTAGCGGAGTCGGGCGCGTGCCCTCTCTCTCGTTTTACCCCGCCGAACCCGCTGAATATCCCGGATGTATGGAGGTGGCGCTGCTGTCGAACAAAATGGTGCCGCCCAGAGAGCGCTAAATGGAATGGTCTAGAGTACTAGGTGTCAGACCCCTCACTAACAGAGATGAAAGCAAAGGAACATAAAGAACTTTCGTATGGTAGCTGTAAAAAAACAGTTATCCTTTTTGCACGAAAAACCAATAACAACGCTAGAAAATAGCAAAGAGAAATAAATTTTCTTATCACGTATTTTAAAATAATTATCTACGTTGCCTATGGAGTCAGTGAGAAACCTTCCACAATTTTTTAAAGGAAACTTTCCCATGGGCCTCAAAAAGCAATTTTTTTTTTTTGTGCTAGTTTCTGTTGAATATTGTGACCCAATAATGGAGCGAGCAAGCCCAAAGGCACAACGACGCAAAGCAGGACAGACGGGGATAAAGAATTTCACATATCTCATTTTGGGACTGTAGAATTCATATCTCTTGGCCACCTTCAAACAACTTCTCAATCACTGTATCAAGTGATGAAGACATAGAGTAGAGATATTTTTATTTGTGTAGGTGATCAAAATATAAAACCTTGTGTTCCGTCGCACGTGCCATCTGAACCAAACCCATTTTGAATAGTCCGCAATTACGAAAGAATCTGATCGCGCGAGCGCGGGCATAGCGAAAGGAGCAGCTATCATCCAGGCATTTCCAACTTTGCTCTGTAGCAACTGCTGTCGAGCGAAAATGATAGAAATAAACACGTGTTTATTTTTACCACAGGGCACGCGTTTGGAATTTAGTTTTTTGCGGTGGTGCTCGGATATTTATTCCGCACCAATACAAGCCCCGTCATCGTCCATTTATTGGACCTAAATTGTAAAATTTATTAAGGTATTTATAAAAAAATGTGAAGCGCCGTTGTCGCGTCGCAAAGCACCCGACAGCGAGCTCCTGGCACTGCTCGGCTGCGCACAGAGCCGGGGACGTCGCGGTGCTAAGAAGTGGAGCGCCCCCTACATGGTGACGTCACCGCCCTCCAAGCGCCAGTTGCTCCCAATGCACGGTGGAGGCTACGCGGCCGCTACACTACCCCTTTAAGCCACGTTACTGCTACGAAGTTGGCAGCAGTTGATGCGCTCTGAGCACACTTCGTTGGCACCTCTGTTGGATGCGGCCTCTTTCTGCAATTGGACGCAATTGAAGAGCAAATTGTAAAGGCAGCTTCGACACGCCGTGCACAGTTGAACCTTGAAAGCTAATTTCTTTCGCAAGAACTCGCTCTAAAGAATTTTGTTTGTTTTTGCCTCAATGATTGAGTCTCACTTGATATGGCTGGGCAAGACGCCGAGCGTGAGCAGACGTCGTGAGGCAGATGGCGCCAGGCAGAGGACGTGCAGAAGTTGTTGTTGCTTAGCTCTATTGTTGAAGCAAGACTCTCATTGCCAAGACAGTGTGCGCTTCGATCTTGTGCCTCTTTGAATCTCTTGCAAGCGTGCTCCGGATATCGAGATTCTACACACGTTTCTGTTGCGTTACAGCGCCATCCTAAAGGGGGGGAAAAAAAAAAGATTTTTCAAACGCACCTGAGAATGGAGGAATCACATTCTCTGTCTTTCTGAAGAATTAAGGTACGCAAAAACGCATTTCCAGTGATCGGCTCATGGCTTACTACCGCCGGACATGCACGCAGAAAGAGCTTGTGCCAAGTCGCTTCCCATTTCATATTTTACCGCCTGAAGCATTAAAGGATGTTGAGCTTCCTCCGATCATACTTTCTTTTTCCTTTTCTCTTATTTTTTGCGGATTGTTGAAAGCCTATATCATACCTACCTACCGTATTCACGACATGCTGTCCAGTCGCGCCAAGGTGTGCGCACACATTGTGCACATCTGAGGTTCCTCATTGAGTGTTCACTCTCCCACAGTGCATGAGCTTTCAGAAGGAGAAGCGCGCTTTCAGGCGTGTTGCAACAGGCATTCATAACTCTATTGCAATGAAGCGAAATGTGGCTTTATTGTGGCTCCTTTGCACTTCAAATATGCAAAAACAGAACAGCACCTATTACAAAAGCCTATGTTTTATGCTGCTTGGGACTATGACGTTTAGTGTACATAAGAAATCGAGACTTTTTGGGCAAAATCCGCTTGAAATATACGGCTGTAGCGAACATATTTCAAAATTGCGTCGACTTCGTTATAACCGGGTTCGACTGCATTTAGAAAGCTCCACCTTTTGATGATAATGCAATTAATGCAAAGTTGCAAGCGAGCTGGTCAAGAATTACGATAATAATCCCTGGAGAAGGGAAACAAGGGGGACAAAGGAAATTATCCTCCGTATATCATGAAGGATAATTTAAAGCGGGAATCACTAGTTGAATGCTGAAAAATGTTCAGGTTAAAATTTTTACATGATATATTTAAATCGCCTTCTAATCGGTCGGGAAATGTTTGTACAGGGACCTTTATGCATATCAGGGAGGGCAGGCCAACAGAAGAAAATCTGACCCTACTTCTGCCGTACTGATGTTTTTGCGTAGAATAGAATGAAATAGATGGGCTGCTGAAGGATGTGTTTGACGTTTATACAAGTTTGTTTGTGTTTCAATGTTTTATGTACTCACTTGTCCTATAATGCCGAAGGGTGGTGCAGGCCTCTATGTAAATAAAAAAAAAAAAAAAGTTTGCAAACACTGCTACCGTGAAATACCGGGCAAGCGCCCAATCAAAATTTAGAGATAATCATTTTTACATATAAATGTACTGTGCATAATTTCTCAGATTTTAGAAATTTGGATATAGGCACTTTATGTGGAATGGGTGGATGCGCGGTATTCTACAGTAGGTGGCTGGCGCGCGACTGACAGAAAAGATCCGCCTGGTTCTGGTATCGAACCAGGGACCTCTCCATTTCCAGTAGAGCACTCTACCAACTGAGCTAAACAGGAGTTAGACGCCAGTAGAACAAATGCCGACATTGGTGAACGGCCTGCATTTTAAGGTTATGATGATAATGCAATTAATGTAAAGGTGCAAGCGAGCTGGTCAAGAATGACGATAATAATCCCTAGAGAAGGGGAACAAGGGGGACAAACACAAGTAATGTTGGGAGCTTGCCCGTAGTAGTTGTTTGTTACACTTATTGTTTTTGCATTTAGAACTATGTTTGGATTGTGGAAAGATGAGGTACACTCAGTCTCATTTGATGCCTCTTGATGTGCCTAGACAGAACCCCCGTCTTTTTTTTTCTGCCAGGAGCGTCGGTTAGATGGGGTGGGCGAAGGGTTGGAATTTGTTGCCCCGCGTGAGGGCCCGAAAAAGGGGCGTTGGGCCAAGGTCCTGAGGGCGCCCTCCCCGCAGGCGGGTGAAGAAGCTGGTGGACGCCTTCGGGGGCAGCCTGAACGTGGAGCTGCAGCAGCGGGCGGTGGAGTTCTCGTCGCTCTTCTGCCGCCACGACCGGCTGCGGGGCAGCCTGCTGGAACGCATGCCGCCCATGGAGGCCCGGGCCCCGGGTTCGGCGGGCCGCCAGGACGACGAGGGGCCTCCCGCCCCGCCCCCCGCCCCCCATCCGGTGTGTGCCAAACTCCATTCTCGTCGGGCACTGTAAGACGTTGACGTGGAGTTGCTCCTTGTCGGACGCTTGGCAGCCTTTCCCGATGGCCTCGCAGTGGCGGGCGCTAGCTTGGCTTTTGTCGCTTGCCGCGTGTCCATCCTGCGCCTTGTCTTCCTTTAGCCCAAATTTGGAATTGAGGTCCGACGAGTTGATTGGGCCGTCCTTTACCCACCGTAAAGGTCAATCTGAAAACGTGGTCGCTCTAAATTCTTAATGTCACAAACTGGGATCGGGGAATTTCAAACTTGCTTTAGTCCATGGAGCGATCCAATGCGAAGGAAGTGTGTGCGTGTGCGGAAAAAAGTGAAAATCTTTGTTTTGTGCTGTCTCAATACATATGAGCTCGTTGAGCGGGCAACAGTTATTGGGACCCAAAGGTCGGAACGTGTGGTTCCCGCAATTTTATCAAAATATTTGCGGCCACTCTGGAGTCTGCCCGGACAGGCTCTGGCTCTGCTGCCGACGCTCCTTGTGGCTTTTTTTGGAACTATGCCGCACAAGAGCCAATGGGAGCCTCGTTCCTTGATGATGTGCGCCAGCCAATGGGTGCATAATCCATCAGAAATCAGCTTCACATCACTCCATTGGGAAAGGGGATTTTAGGTGCCTTTTAGCCGACGTTTGGCGTGGTTTCAAAGCTGATGGCGTCGGTTCGCTTCGTGGGACTGCATTCACATTAAAACCGACTCTCCTGTGGGCCGTGATTGGATCATCACTTAAATATGTGCCGAGGATTAATTCCAGTGCAGCTATCTTGACTGCCCAGCTGTATGGTTTAATATTGGCCACAGACCACATCATCAAAAATAGGCATCCATGCTCTGTAGTCTACACTGATTTCCCAAGTGCTTTGATCCCTTGAGATGGTGAAAAACCCTCTGATCGTTCAGCTACAACATAAAGTAGTTGCTGCAGCTGTGGAAAACAAATGCCAACGCATTTGTTTTTTAGACGGCTGAAGAACTTTGCTGCGTGGACTGCGAAAACTATGTAAGCCAGTTAAAATCCTTCCTCCAGAACCTACTACCACCTGCACCGAGAGAATATCTCCGTAAGCCCGGATCTCCACCGTTGTACGCACGTTTTTGTACGAAACTACACCAGAAGACGTCCGCTGCAGTGCCCCTACGACAGACCATACGAAGTCTTGCAACATAATTACAAAACTTGCCCTTTCAGTCAATGGCCGGAAGGAAGTTATATCCCTCGACCGCATCAAACCCGCCCATCTTCCTACAGCGACTTAAAAGAACCGAGAATAGTTTTACCATGGGTCCGAGAGAAACGCTTGTCTCTACCAGTTCCTCTTCAAGGGGGGAACCATAGGGCGGCTCCTGGAGGAGAAACGAAGGTGAAAGGCTTGTGCGACAGGCACGCTCAGCGAGAGACGAGCAGGACGAGGATTCCAACACCGGGCGCAAGTACCTTCGTGTTGGCTTGGTCTAAATGATGTAAATAAACGAGTTGAAGGTTAATGACCCCTTCAGGTCCTTTCAGCAACAAGCATCTGCGTGTGTATCGAGCAAATTATGTTGCAAAGCTTTTGGTGTATCGGTGTTCGCGAGAAATGATTGGCAATCATTTCCACATTGTATTATTTCCCTTTCCTGCTTTGCGCCAACACTCTCGCGCGTCTCGTGCGGTGCTCTTGACCGCACTAGTGATCCGATTGCTCCGGACCAGGTGCTCAAGGCTGGAGCCGACCATTTCTAAAATAAAATGAGTGATTTTTGAAAATTTGCGAGGAGAAAATAGCAGCCGACGATGCCCACGGACACGGACATCGGGAACGGGTGCCATTTGTCGGAGGTTTCTAGTGCTAGGGAAAAGCACGAGACAGAGGGTGGGATGCACGACAGGTTTTAAGGCGAAAGCCTTATATGTCCCATTACGCGAAAAGGCAGCATCGGCGTTGTGCCCGAAAGATGGCCATAAAAATGCGTCAAGCACGCGCTGCTCAAGGTCAAAGCGGACGTACCTCAGAAACAAAATGCAAAGAAAAGCACAGCAATGTAGACGCTTCGTCACAGAAGCTGTGACGACGGTGGGGGCGCTGCACCTGCGCAGTGGGGGAGCGTGATGTCACCGTTGGAGCGCCGTGTGCATTGTGTGTAGACGCGGCGCGCTGCTCGTAGAAATGCTTTTGCATTCCTTCACGTAAGCAGTCTTAAGTGTCTTCTTTGTTTTGCGTGGAAAGGAAAAATTGCTTAGGGAAATGGGCACTTCTAGCTGTGGACAAAGGGAAAAAGATTAACTATATGGAAGCGTTTGCTTGCGGGGATTGACACGGAGGCACCCTGCAGAGCGCCTTGCTGGACCTGCTGGGGGCCGGCGGGGGCCCTACTCGGGAGCCAGGGGGGGGCGGCGACCTGCTGGACCTGCTGGGAGGCCTGGACCTGCCCGACGGTGAGTGCTCTTGGGAGGAGGCATTTCCTGCCGAGCGTGGTCTTGATGAGCCGTTGAAAGGGTCCATGCCGCCCGTGGCATTGAGGCTGGCTTTGCTACGCAGCTAGGCCTAGGACATTTGCACCTGCTTTCAGAAAGTAAAGTGAGCCCGCGAGCAAATCTCGTCCCATTCCTTCCCTCGGGTCAGGCAATGTCAACCAGTTATGTACCCTGTTTCCAAAGCAACCTCCAGAAAGTTTAAAGCCTTTTTGCTAGTTTCTCCTAAGATCAAATCATGCGCCGTATTTCAATATTACTTTACGTATCCTACCCTGAGACGTGCCTCCGGGAGCTGAAACTGTACACTTATTTTTGAGTTGCATAATTAATGTTCTGCGGTTTTATTGGAATCTAGTTTTCCCAAAAAGTTTATTGCTGTGGCGAGAGCTGCCGGTCCTATAGACCTTTCCAGTGGCAGTCTCGAACAAAGTGAATTATTGCGCGCGTCCCTGGTTTTGAGAGTGTCGGTGTTGCCCGACTTTGCCGAGCTGTGGGTTTTCTCGTCGATGGGCTGTGGCAGCCCGCGTAGGCGCAATTCTGAACCCTCGTGGCAGCTCAATTGCTGCACTTTGTTTTTTTCTGTGGTTTATGATGAATAGAATTTCTTGAGGCTTTTGAAAAAAAAAAAACATTGTACCATCTTTGGGAACAAAAACAAACAAATGAAAGCAATTTTTGGTGAGTCCAGGCACGGCAGAAGAAATGCAACTGGAATGTTTGTTTCATTCTATGCTTATTTTGTGCAACGCCATACACTCGGCCGTGTCAATCTAGAAAGGTCTTAACTTTAGAAAATATTTCACTGCACAGGATAGCCGAAAGGACAATGTATTGTGCATACCCCCACGGTGCCACATTGTCCAAACAGGGCTTATTTGAAGAAGATCTCAAATAATGGAGCATCTACAGTGTCGATGACAGCCACTTTACGACGATCGGACAGAATCCGGCTTGTTTTGAAGAGAGCTGCTTTTTTGCACAGCACCAAAGCAAAGGAACGGCTGGCGTCTGGTCCCCTACCCCAGACCCAATCGGCTATCTTTCGCCATACGTAGTGCCCCCCTTCCGGGTGAGCCAATCGGTCTGCAGTGCAGAGCGAGAGGCGTGAGCGCATGCACGTAAACTCCCGGCTGCTTCCAGCTGACGGGGGAGGGACGCCATTTTCATTCATTGGCCTGGTGGTATGCATGGGATCGACATCCGAATTTCGGTTCTTTTCTTTCATTTGGCAGGCTCTGGCAAGAAAGTTATAGTGTTATTCCTCGGTGGCTTAAAAAGTTAATAAATGAAGTTTCTTCACTTTTGAATGCAAGCTTTTGTTCACGCGAAAAAGAAATAAGCTCGCAGCAGACGACGCGTAGCCTCAACAGTGATCTGCACCGACAGCGTGTTGCGTTAAAAGGTGGTCGTCTCCTCATTGCTCCCTTGTTCCTCTCTCGCTCCTTCGGCGCTCTCCTCCCTTTCCTTCACTTTTCTTCTCTCCAGCGCCTTCGTTGCCACACCCACTGGCCAGACTCTCCCAATATACGGCTTTGGGTGTGGCTTGTCCGCCTGACCACTTAATTGCACGCCACATTCATTCCCTCTTTTTCCCAACTGTGCGCATTGTAGATAAAAGCGATCATGTGTGCATGGTTGCAATTTAAGCTTGGTCAGCATGATAGCGTTTTCATGCTCCCAGTGTTGCCGGACTGCTCGAGCTTGAAAAAAAAATCCTTCGAAATAACCGGTCCTAGATGTGAAGCTTGGAATTAACGCACATATATTCCCATAGTGTAATTGCCAGAACCGCATCCCTGGTTCGAACTGACCGAAAATTCATATGAAGCGACTGAATTACCGAGAGTCAGTTGTAGAGTAAATGAGTTTCACTGGTTGGTTAATTGCACTATTCAGGATAGAAAAAGCTTTAATTTCAGTGTTCCCTTTTTTGTTGCCAAATCTTGGGAAATTTTTCATGAACGTTGCTCCAGGATACAAGTGGCAACTTAATTAGAATGCACACAAAATAAAAAAATGTAGTTGACATATTTGAAATGAAGTTTATCCTTTTCCATTCGAGTGGGTTTTCCGTGCAAGATTGTTGCCAAGATTCGAGTGAGCTGAGACTGCAAGTTGTAAGAAACTGGCATTGGAGGGTGCGCCCTCTTGCCAAAGGCACCGGAAGAGTGTCGATGCTGCATCGCGCCTTGCAACATTGAAGGCGTATGCTTGCCGCACGTCTCCCTTCGGAGTGGCGTGGTCTCCTCTCGTGAGCGATAGCTGGCCCTCCGTAACATTGCTGGAGCATGGGAAGGATCCCAAACAGGTTTAGAAACAAACTATGGGTATTATTTTAAAATTTGTAATGCAGCTTTGCAAGTTTATTTTCATTTATAGGGTAATGTATGATGGACCTGGGATGCCCGCTCTGTTCCAGCCTCTATTCCAGCCTCTGTGCCGGCCTCTGTGCCGGCCTCTGTTCCGGCCTCTGTTCCGGCCTCTGTTCCAGCCTCTGTTCCGGCCTCCCTTGCCGACCTCTCGGATGGCCCTGTTAACGGAAGCGCTCTCTCTGCGGCCGGCGGTGAGTGCTTCCACGGGGACCCTCTCGGATTGGTGCGGCCCTGGAGAGGAGACAGCTTGCTCTCTCGGGGAAGGCCTTGTGTGGCTGGCTGTCGGACACAGTTCTTTGCTCCTCCGGGTCTTTTTGGCCAATATTGTGGCATCGGTCCTCGGACACACTGTAAAATTACCCGCCAAACTCGGTGCGTGTACGAAGGTAACATTTTAATGGGGGGTGGGATCTATTTACGGGTGGGTTTTCCTTTTGGAAATGCGAGAGAGTAGCTGTGTTCTCACGAATAAGGAGGCGATGGGTGAAGATTTGGGTGTAGATGGACTACGCTGGGTGTCGTGGGAGGCCCCTCATGGGTCGTTGTCTTCCTTCTGGGCCAGTCATGAGCACGGGACAAAGAACACCCGACGCCGCTCGAGCAGCGGTCCAAATGCTGCTTTACTCGTATTTCTGGAAGAAACGGACAAAACATTTTGAAGCACGCGTGTAAGAAACGAGGATATAACAATACTCTGTTTCACCTTATGATGTACCGCAGGAAAAGCTACAAGCGCGAGCTCCTTGCTCTGGGGCACATCTCTGCGGCACAAGCTCTCGTGACTTAAGAGCGGCTGCCAACGCTATGAGCTCGCGCTTCTAGCCTTCGCTGCGGTACAACATAAGGTGAAGCGAAGTATAGGGCTTGGCCTTTTTGCTTCCTCGCGATTATGTAGCGGAATCGCAACATTTTGAAGGAAGCTGTTTTTTTTGTCCTTTGTGACAAGATAACCAATGTCAAAAGTTCAAGATGCAAATTCTTATAATGTTAAAATTGTTTGCACAACTCCTTTAAGTCATCCATTTTGGATCCGAGGAAAAGTAAATGCTTTTATTGTTGTTTAGAAATATGCAGGGTTTGGACGAATATGGACCACACGCAATAAAGGTTGGGTGTTTATTTCCGTTCCCCGTAATAGTGCCTCTGAAGCACTTGTTTGGGCGCGTTGCTTTGTGCCGTCAGTGCCACAGCTCAGCCAACAACGGCGTGTGGGTGTCTGATCTCCAAAGTGGGACATGCATAGCTGGCTTTGTCAGAAGTACTGAGACATGGGTCCCTATCATTTCGTGGAATTATGCTTCATGGACAGCTTCTGATGGCGCATGTTTTATGGACACACGTTTTGTTGACATGAATGTTTTATAGACACTCGTTGCGCAAATTGCATGCTGTAGGGACATTTCCTCATGCGTATATCACTGGGGTCTGTATTAAGCCATCCTCCCATTTGCGTTCACGCCGCTTCGCCAGCGACATTCTGCGGCGGCTTATTACAAAAATGTTAACCCAACTGACGGACCCGTACACGCCGCTCCGCAGCGACACTCTCATGCAGCTTATTACAGAAAAAAAGCTAATCTGAGCTGTCGATGAAACATAGCGTGTCAATAAAACAATCTGTCAATGAATTGTCGTTCATGAACTGATTGCCACCGCTGAAACATGAATTCGTCGTTTACATTTTTTTAGGCACAGAGGCGCTGAGCATGGCCGCATGAATTTGAAATACTGCATGCATTAAATCGCGTATGCCGTAAAGTCTCGTATGAACGCCTGCCCCCGAGAAATCATCCCTCCAGTTTTTTTTTTGACTGAATATCCAGAGCATAAAAATTCAGAAACTGTGACGAATGTTTATTCGAATACCGAGTAGTAATCTTTAAGGACGTAGAAGTGGAGCAGGTGGCGGACACTGTGCAGGCCCCCTGACGGTGCTGGACCGGGACGGGCTGCGAGTGGACTTTGCCTTTGAGCGGCGGCCGGCCCACGAGCTGCTCATCCACCTGACAGCCCTCAACTCGCTGGCCGAGCCCATGACGGACTTCCTGTTCCAGGCGGCCGTGCCCAAGGTGCGTCTGCAACTAAATGGGCTTTGGGGCCAGACGTGCCAACCTCTTAACTGTTTCGTATCATCTGGCCAGCTGTAAGCTGGACTAGATTTCCATTGGGTTGTCGCAAATATTTCCATTGGGTTGTCGCAAATATTGCGATACAAATTCACTTTGCTTTGGTAGGGCACATCCACAAAGATTTTTAGGGGCGAAGCTCCTTAAGGTCTAGCCTTGTCCGGCGTCCATGCTCACATCGATTGCCGTCCCATCTGTCTTCTTAAAAAAAGAAAAAAATGTTTGCGCAGTCGACAGGATTCAAACCTGTGCGTGGAGACCCAATGGATTTATAGTCCATCGCCTTAAAGGACACATGCAAAGGAAAAAAACATTTTTTTTTAAACGGCTTAGATGGAAAAAGGACGCCATAAAACAATTTTGCAACGAAGAAAAAAAATTTTTAGAGCTATATTTACGGCGCAAAACGAATTTGTAGTTGGCGCCCGCGGGCACCGCGGAAAAGTGGTCCGTATTTATCACGTGACTGGTCCTTATTTATCACGTGGTGCTTGCATTCTTTCGGAAGCTTCCTATGGCCTCTAAAAGTAACTTATTCACCTTTGTTTGAAGTATAACAAAAAACTAAGATGAATAAGTAACTTTTAGAGCCCAAAGGAAACTCCAGAAAAAGCGCAAGCAGACGTGATACACTTGTGCGCCGATCAGACGACGGCGGCGGCGCCCCGAAGCAGACGAACTTGTGCGGCGGCGGCGACGGCGGCGTGGAGAAACGCGTTGAAGCGGCGTTCGCACAACGCTCAGCGTGCGTCGGCGCGCGGGCCTACCACGTGACCAGTGGCGGCTCCCTCGAGCGCCAACTACAAATTCGTATAGCGCCGTAAATATAGCTCTAAAAATTTTTTTCTTCGTTGTAAAATCGTTTTATGACATCCTTTTTCCATCTAAGCTGTCTGAAAAAAATGTTTTTTTTTCCTTTGCATGTGTCCTTTAACCACTCGGCCACGACTGCGGGACGAGTAGGGGGCTCTGAGATGTGGTAGTAACTCAAGAGCTGGGGATGTCATGGGTGAAGCGTTGCATGTAGCCGCTCAACGTGTATACAGGAGAGGGCGCTGCAGTCAAATACGTATATAGTCTCGTTAAACTTTGCAAGCATTGGGTCAACGTTTATAGGCGAGAGGGCACTGCGGTCAAATGCTCAAATGTGTATATAACCACGTTCCATACCAAACATTCTCCTTCTGACGTGGATGAAAACAAACGAAAAGCTCGGCACGGCTGCGGCTCAGCGTCTACGCAGACAGGAAGCTGCTCCGGAGACCAGAATGCGAGAAGCTGCTGCAGAGCGTCAAAAACGCCTAGCGAACCCAGAGTTGAGAGCTCAAAAGCACCATCAGCACTACCTATGAACAAAATCAGTATCATCAGCACCCACCAGAGCTTCGCCCCAATCAACATCATTTACCACGTGGAGATGCGGTCATTTTTTTAAACTGCCTGGATGGGCCACATACATTACGAGATGCCCTTGAGAAGTGTAATAATTGGATATTTAATCTGCCACATACATTTTCAGTTGGAAGCGATTACGCTTGTTGGCCCCAAAAGTGGCTTCTCTTTGGAGGTTTAGAAAAACTTCTTCATATCTGACTTTTTCATTTTTTAAATAAACATAAAATATGTACTCAATAGTGCTCAGTTTCGATTCAGGAAGAATTTTTCCACAGAACTTGCATTGCTTGTACAAAAACAATTTATTTTACGGAGTTTGGATGAAAAAAATGTGGCGCTGTGCGTATTCATTGATTTGACTAAAACATTTGAATATGTAAACCGTAACTTATTTGTACGAAAACTCAATATTTACAGTATTCGGGGTATATCACTTCTGCTGCTTCAGTCATATCTGGCTAATCGTAAACACTATGCTGATTTAAATGGGTGTTCATCTGCAACCAAGCCAATTGTCTCTGGTGTGTCACAGGGGAACATTTTGGGGTCTTTGCTTTTTAACTTTTATATTAATGATAATGTTAACATATTCATGAGCTAAATTCATAATATATGCGAATGACACAAGTCTTTTATTTTCAGCTAAAACAGGTGACAATCTAATTGTGCAAATGAGAGATTAACAGTGCTAAAGAATTGGACTCGAGACAAGGGTCTCCAAATCAATCTTAGTAAAACAAAGCAATCCTCTTTTGGCGCAAAAATAAAAAATAATTTTACTCCAAATCAGCCTCGTCTTAAACTCAAGTATTATAGATATTCTTGGACAATCACGTAAACTATTTACTCACTAGATTGTCCAGGGTCGTTAAACTCGTCTTTTGTAAGAGTTGCATTTTACCTACTAACGTAAAGCTACTCGTATGTCAGACCCTATTCGTTTCGCACGGAAATTACTGCCACCTGGTGTGAGACACAATCACTTGTTCAAACTTAGGAAAAATACATTTATTGCAAAAGAAAATAGTTTGCCTCATTGAGAACGCATTCTACACTTCTAGTACCAGTGTTGCCAATTTAGCGGTTTTCCCGCTAAACTTAGTGGTTTTTGGTTGCAAGTTTTTGGTTGCAGTGCAAGAGCAACACCCATGGCCGAGCCATTGGCACACCACTATTGAATAGTACATAGCTCGCTAATTAGTTTTCAAGCAAGATACACAAAGAAACCGGGAATGCTATTGATGTTTGGGCTTTGGGATTGAGTCACATTTACAACTAAGCATTGTTCAGCTGGCAGCGGTTGGACCCTTTGTCTGGACAAGTTTTCTGTCGGCATCTTGTGCGGCGAAGTGACGTCGTGGAGCACTCCACAAAAACGCATCAAGAGTGCCAGTCTCCCGTTTGTTTAGCGAATCGGACAGCTCGGGGAAATTGGAGCCCTCTATAGCTGTTGGACGACGGGGATGCATAGAATGCTGTGCGACAATTCAGTTGCAACATGCTGGGCTATTTATTGTAAGGGACTTCATTTTGGAATATTTTGCCCTATGGTAACAGAGTGTACCACCCTCATTCAACAAAATTTCGTGCCTGCAAAATATTTGAGAAAAGCACGCTTGGCCGAATTCGCGAAATACTGAGCTCGCAAATATGTAGTGGTTTACAGTATATATCCCTAAGAAGACGCCTCTGGCTGTGACATGCACATTAGTATTTCCTCTTTCACAAGCCTTCTCTCTCTCTCTCGATGCCTTGCCCCTCTTCGCCCAAGTGTCGTGGGGCCTTTAGGGAAGGGCCAAACTTTTGTGCAGTAAGGATGGGTGCCAAATCCCGGAAGGGCACGGATGGCCAAGACCTATTACAGCGAAGCTGTTATGCGCAAGGATCTTGGAAAAAATTTGTCCGCGGATTTCGACAGAAAACTTCCCATTGGTTGTGGCAAGTATAAATAAAAAAAAAGTCCTAGAAGTCGTCCTTGAAGTAGCCTGAGAGGTCGTCTTACCGTTGTCCTCCAGGTGTCGTCCTCAAGGTCATCCTAGAAGTCGTCCTTGAGGTCGTCCTAGACGTCCTCGATTTGTTCCTATAAGTCGTCTTAGAGGTCATCCTAGCCGTCGTCCTAGAGGTCGTTCTAGAAGTCATCCTCTAGGCGGCGTCCTCGAGGTCGTTTTAGAAGTCGTCCTTGATGTCTTCCTAGACGTCGTCCTCTAGGCATCGTCCTAGACTCCGTAAAATAACAGCTTCGCTGGTCCTCCATCTTCACGTGAGGTGGAAGGGCTCTACAATTTTTTTAAGTCGGGGGAGTAGGCGGGCTTTTGTTCATCCGGCCCACGATTGGCGGTTTCCACGGCAATCGGCGAGCATGCTGGGGTGCCTCAGGCCACGCCCCAGATTAAGGGGACCTCCAGGCTGACGGGGAACCCTCTTGCAGACGTTTGAGCTGCAAATGCTGCCCCCGGACGGGTCGGTGATCGAGGCACAGCAGTGCGTGCGCCAAAGTCTGCGAGTGACGAGCCCGGACGGCCAGGTGAGATGGAAGGGGGGGACCGAGGGGGGCCGTAGCCCTGAGCCGCCTCCGCTGTGCAGAGCCCCCTGCGCATGCGCATCCGGCTGTCGTATTCCGTCCACGGGGCACCTGTCCACCACCAGGCGGAGCTCAAGGACTTCCCGGACTCCCTGTGGCACTGAGGCCTTGTCGGTAAGACCCTTTGGGAGGGCATCGCCCCAACTACGCCGACTACTTTTGTGGACCTTAATTTTCGGAGAAGACTGCGTGTGAAATGTGTACATTTAATTGGAAGTAACTCTCCTTAAATGCGTCAGTTCACGACGTGCCTGGATCTTGAGGGAGCGAATGCGCGAGAGCAAAGTGCTACCATGCTTTCCTCGGAGCCTGGTTTTTGTACTTTTGACCTTGGTATTCCATATGGACTGTAGCCCCAGTGTATAAAGTGCACATAGCAAGCCCAAAGAGGGTCAGTTGCGGTGCTTTTCGTGTGTTGCTCCGAGTTTCAGTGGCTACGAGTGACGTGACAAATTCTTTCTAAAGTGAGGCGAAGACGCCTAAGCAAAAAGAGATGCCACGAAATGCAGGTCACTCTATTATATGTCTGCACTCAGTTTTGGAAGAATGGGCCTAGGATGTGCAGATAGATTGAAGGTGCTTTCATTTAAATTCATCAAACTTGGGGCCATAGATTTTTCTGAAAATTTATGTATGTCATTTCTCAGCTCCGGTTTATTAGCTGCCCTTTTTGATAACAAATCTGCAGTGCCACCTGGTGGAATACATAAAAAAAGTCTGTTTTTCGCTCTGGCTTAGCTGAAAGTGTGGATATTTACATGGCAACTAATATTATAAATTATTTCTAAAAGGAATTATTTATGCTTCTGGTTATTCTCTTAGGACATTTCGCTGTTCAGAGCAATCTTTCCTTACATTCCAATTGGTGTTGATCATTTCATTTAAGTCCCAGTTAGGACATTGCATAAGCGGGGGGCAATGCATCAAACAATACAATAATGACACAGAAGAGTAACAATATATAAAAACGGCGGAAGGTATTATGTTCAGTTTAAATGGGCTAGTACAGTAGAACCTCGGTGATACATTCCCGGTTTTTACATTTTCCCGGCTTTTACGTTCAAAGCCGCCGGCCCTGCCGAGCTCCCATAGGAATGCGTGTATTGATTTCCTGCTTATTACGTTTGTCTTCCCGGTTCTTGCAACCAAAAACCACCAACGCATGCTGCAAAAGTGGCGCCACGTCTGCCGCACGTGCCGTGTCTTGGTGCTATTGGCACCGTTGAGAGGAGCAGAGCAGCGTCAACATACATATTTCAACATACCGCCAGCCGTGTACAGCCGTGGCATCCATGGTAGGGCAAAAACAAAACTAGTTCAAATTCAGCGAACATATTTTGTCGTCAATATTTTAATTCATTCCAATCCATCAGCGTTTTCAGACATAATTTTCGAGTCTATTTCAAGTCTTGCAACACAGTGAGTACAGGGAGGACTCACTTGTCAAATGGGAATCCAAGATGTTAGTCTTCCTCATTTTTGGATTGCCATATCCCAGATAAGTGTGCGTGCCTCGTGGAAAAAGAAAATGTTCCTTGGGCAGGACAACTTTGAAAGATACATGCCAGCAGTGAGCACGAGAAAAAAAAATGGTTCTCTTTCTTTTTGCTGACTCCGCGCGCACCTGCCCGCGCAGCGCTGGTACCGCCTTATCCACTGCTATGCGCTGACCGAAGCTGTTTGGTGTTGTTTTTTCTTCTTCTTTCCCGTGGGATTGACAAGTTTGTTGAAGTAACTCTTCTCCTTTTGCTTTGCACCCTTGCTTGCCCGGGACCCGCCGCCCTGCACTAAACGTGACCTTGGGGCCTGGGGCATTTCTAGAATTGCCGTTCATCTCCATCTCTTTCACTGCGTGCCGTGCTCGCGCATTTGCATGCTGCGCGCCGCAGTTGTATCAGTCAATGGTTTAGGTTGGGGTCCATGGTCTTGGTTCTCGCAGGGTGGAACGGCTGCGCCATTTTCTGCCATTTTGCGCCAGATACATTTGTCTGCACCATCCTGCGCAATTTTGCAGGCACTGCGCCACAGCCAATATCTCGAGCCATTATGCACCAAATTGCACAACGTGCAGCAAAATATGGTATTTTGTCTCGGTTTCGGTTTCTACCGACTAGATTGGAATTTGGCTACAATGAGCGCGTTTAGCGTGGTCGGCCTTGCAATCCTTTGTTCCGTTTTTTGTCCCTCTGTATGCCGAGTCGGAAGCGCGTGAAAAATTTTGGGGGTTGTATTCTGAGCGCTACACCACCTGCGACTGGATTTTTATCCTTCAACCATACGCGGTTAAGCAAGTCGGCCGAGGGGAGGTTGAGTCGTTAAGTGCCAGATTGCCTGAGGCTCTGCAACCCGGGATCCGGACATCAGTCAGTCGAAAACAAATGAGCAAAAGATTCCTTTTAGTACTTCATCTTTATAAATTGGAACTGCATTCCCGCAAGACAAATCATAATTTGATAGAACTGAAACGCGGTCCAATCCGAAACCTTGCCGGCCAGCAGCACTCACGCGAGTGGTAGATCTGCTCGGCGTACTTTAACCTGGCACCTGCTTATCGCTTCGAATACGATAAATCTGTTATTCAGTCTGCTGCTTTGATATTGAGTTGCACAATAGGATAAACTCGAAATTTGTTGCCCTGTTCCTCCACGCAACTGCACGTCCGTTGCTTGCGCACGTTGCGTGGTTCGCAGATATAATTACTATGTTGATCATGTGTGGGTTGTGCGATAAGCAGTGCTGGTTTGCATTTTAAACAGCTGAAAGCCACTCGGAAAATGTCAAGGACACTATCTTCAGAAACGTATGGTACTTGCTTTTTGGTTTTCATTAAAGCTCGCAACGTTTCAAGTTTTCGCATATGTTACAGTGTTATCCCATCTACCTAGGTTCCTAACCACTCATGTCCAACTTTGCTGCTAAGCACAATTGAAATTGCTCCCGTGCTCAGCTAAGACACAAGCTGAAGTGCAATGAAAACTGATCTGAGCAGCTCCTAGCCTGCTCCAGGATGTAGTTTGAGCTGCTCCCAACCTGCTCCAAAACAGCTGTTTCAGCTGCTCCCGTGGCTGCTCCCAGGTACATTTCATGAGTTCCACCCGTGTTCTCGACTCCCGGTTTCATTTTGCATGAGTTGGCTTCCGGTTGTGGCCATGGCATCGCAGAAAAAAAAAGGTACCGAGTTTCCAGGAGAAGTTAAACATTCTCTGGGTGGTTGAACGCAATCGCAGTCGAAAAAAAAAAAAAATGGACATGCAAGGGACCTTGGGAGGGAAGTTTGAACAGCATTGTTGTCAAATGAAAGAACATAGAGATGCAAGCTTCTGCATTTCACCCGGCTTCAAGCAAGCTCGGACGGCGAAGTACGCCGAGTTGGAACAGACTCTGCTAAACAAGCCCGGGCATCTCGCATGAACATCAACGGAAGCATCCTGCAAGGAAACGCGCAAGATATCGCAGAATTTTTGGATATCACGGGCGTGTTCCAACGGGTGGATCAACTGCTTTAAAGGAGTCATGAAACGCTTTTCCAACTTTTTTCTGTTTACAGTGATGTGATTGCTGCGCCAATTGCGCCAAACTGCGCCAAGGGGCTAACCCTGCTACATCCTGCTACATTTTGACAAAATATGGGTAATCTGCGCCAAGCCTGCGCCAAAGGACCAATTTCGGTCGCCTTTCAAAACCGAAACTAAACTAAGAACGTAATTGAGCATGCGTGAGCTAGGTGGCGCAAACGGCGCCCGACAAAAAGTACACTGCATCCATCCGGTCTTGCATGGTTTCTGCCGCCGTCTCGCGCCTCGACGTCTCGGGAACCTCGTCTCCCGTCTTTTTTAAACCTTTTCAACGATAGACGTGGGCGTGTGCGAACGCTCCGACGCTAGTGTGCCGGGCGCCAGACATGCCGTCATGCTGTGAAACAAAACCACGTTTTTGCGCGACGAGAGTTTCTTTGTGAGCTGAAACGCTGGTCGCGCGACGTCGGGTGTTGTGTACCCACGTCTCTGCCGATAAGGTGCTTTCTAAACTTGTTCATCGACATTCCTGTCCTTGTTTAAATCATACTCTACTACAAAAACCCCTCTATAAAGGGATACTACAACGAAATATCGCTTATCTCTTGGTCTATTCGTGTGCGAGGGAGCACTATCACATCAGACACATCAAGCTCTTGTTGAAAAAGACACGAAAAGGAATTTCAAAATGCAGTAAACGATTAGCAAAGAGCACCTGGTGGTTGTCGCTAACGCCTCGTTTGTAATGCCCGTCTAGGAACCTTGCCAGGTAGTGACGATAACTGTCTCGCCTCCGGCCACCACGAGAAAAAAGGGAAAGAGGAGCTCCCCTCCTCCCGAGAATATTCTTTGTGTCTCCCAGAAGTCGCTATTGTCCCTCTACAAGACTATAAAAAATTAACCCGTCACTCAAAATTCGTACAAAAGCAGCCGCTTTGATGGCTGGAACCGTTAAGACATCTTCTCGACATCAGCGTCGCCGAAGCTTTGCTCGTTCCGAGACGAACTACGTCACGATTGTGTTGGGTGTCACATGCTCTTTGCTGGCTGTTCTCCGAGCGCTTGTCAGAGTGGGCCGTTTGTAACGAAAAATACAGCCACCAGGCTCAAAATACTAACGTGCAATTATCATTTACGGATATTGTGGATCATATTTAACCTATTTCTGAACACGACGGGCGTTTTTCAAATTTCCTTGAAGTGTCCTTTTCATTCAAAAACCGCTTGTCTAAATAATAATTACCTAGGTTTCTCTCGGTGGGCTTTCTTTCGAGAGGGACCCCGGTACGTAAAAAATCTGCCACGAAAGGAAGTCGGTGAAGAGAAGTGAGCTAAAGGAAAGAAGGCAGTGTCTGCACGCTGAACCCGCAAAGCGCGCTTGTTTGTCTCGAGTTCAGTCGTTCCACATAGCGCTCCAAGAAATGTTTGACCATGGCTCGCGATGTCTTGCATCGATGCGCTCAGGTTCTTTCCTCCTGTGTGTTTAGCTTGTACCTCACCTGCCGGTCTGGCAAGCACGCGCCGCTGGAGTGTTGTTTTGTCGTGTGCTGGACAGTTACATTTTGCATACTATTTTGGGAACCAGTTGTCGACAGAGTGGAGTGGCATTGTTCCGATTTCGATTGAGCAGCCGTTGTCTCCGCTTGCCCGACGAAGCACGTACCACTGCAAGCCTGCTGATGTTGCCCTCACGTTGTGCATGTGAACATTAATGCACGACAGAGGCACCAGTCGGGACTTTTGCAATTCATTGTTTTACGTTTGCTTACTTTTGACGAAAATCTGGCACGTCGGGACCCAGTAAAACGGTGGCAAGCGTTCTTTTCGGAATCGCTCGGCAACGCCTGCAACACTGTACACTTGTGGGATGTCTCAGCAGTAAAAACTTAAAAAGCGAGTTCCGTCACAACTCAGCACAAAGTGCCCTTCGTTTGTCCAGCACTGAAAACAAAATTTTTTTTAAAGAATTTTTGCTTTAAAAGCTATTTTTGCTGCTCCGAAACACTGTTTTGGTTGCTCCAAAAGCCACGTTTGCTGCTCCAAAGCACTGTTCTGGCTGCTCCAAAGCTCACTTTTGTTGCTCCAAAACACTGCTTTGGCTGCTCCAAGAGGTGCTCCAAAATGGCTTAGGCCAATCACATCACTGTGTTTAGCTTTCCTCCTCAACTCATAAATCGCGCATTCTACCAAACAGTTCAAGAAAACAGAAAGGGGGAGTCCCCTCTTGCTCGGACTTTCGTTTGTATAATCCGGACACATCCATTCTCCCCCTAGAAGATTAGCCCGTCGCTCAAAATTCAGACAAAAGTTACTTTACCCATTCCGTTCACCCCGAAGCTGACAGTGCTGTGGAAGCTACGTGCTCCTTGGGCCAGCCACACTTTTGCCACGTGGTCTCGCTCTCTCGCGCATACCCACGCGCAGAGAATGAAGTCAGGTGATGAAGGGGGGCAGCTGATAGGTCCGGCAAGCGCGTAGCTTTCACCACAATGTCGGCTTAGGGGTGAAGGGAATAAGTGAGGTCTGGCATCGTGTAACGTGCGTTTGGAGCCGGTGACGCGCTGCGGGGTCCGCGGATGCATCCCAGTGAAAAGGCAGAGAGCTTACGAAGGGAAGGAGGTACGAAATAGTCCGCAGTGTTTTCAAATTTTCGTACCGAAAGTCAGGCTTTTGACTTTCTACCTTTTTCTTTTGGCCCACTGAACGATGTGCTATTATAAAATCCCAATATAAATTGATTTATTCCAGGCCCAAAATTCATTTCATGGGCCCTTTAAGAAGTGCCACAGAATATTGTATCGCACAGTAAGCGGCGAAGTGGCCAGCATTGACCCAGTTTGTGTTGAAGATTTTAAATCTTTGCTGCCTCCGGTCATCGCCGACTGCTCCCCCCGGGGCGTTTTTAATGCCGATGAGGGCCTCTTTTTTTTTTAATATACAGCCTTCAAAGTCACTGAACCTTGAAGAGTAAAGCTTGTCATGGAGGAAAAATTGGCAAGGAGCACCTTACCATACTCCTGTGCTGCCACCAAGACGGAGAAGAGGAAGCCGTGGGTCATGGGGAAGTTTGGCACTTAAAAAATATCCTTAGGTCACTACCGACTCGACGCTCGGGTGTGGATGACCTGCGCTTTTTTCAAAGGCTTCCTGCAGTACTTGGACTCGCAAATGGAGAACAGGAAAGTCCTGATCCTCGTCGACAACTGCCCTGCCCACCCAAAGGTCATCCCTCAGGAAGGGTGCAGTACCTTCTTCCGAATACGACGAGCCACGTGCAGCCGCTCAACGCGGGAATAATAAAGAATGTCAAACACTTCTATAGGAAGTGGATTGTTCGGCGATTGCCCACTATGGTAGAACGAGGTTAGACTCCGACCAAGCTCACCATCCTGGGAGCGATGCATTTCTTCGCAACAGCGTGGGACACTGTCTCGATGGCCACTGTCCAGCCTTGCTCCTGCCAGTGTGGGTTCGAACGTGCGGGGCGAGGATGAGCGCTAGCTGAGGGCAACGCCAACGAAGGTTCCGATGATGCGCAAGAAATGGAGACAAAGAAAGTAGGAGCCCTCCTCACCTACTCGGAATACCTGTCAGTTGACGAGGATGTCATCACCGCTGAGCATATCAGTGCTGAAAGGGATATGGACATTGAGGACACAGTCACCGGTAACGCAACACCCACATTTGTGGACGCAATTGTGGCATTAGATACCTTGCACAGGTATGCGAGTGTTCACGGCTGCGTGGACAGTGAGAAGGGGTTGCTGCAGCTTGAAAGGGAACTCTTACTGTCAAGCAGTCACTCGAAGTGCCGGGCAGAGATTACAAGCTTTTTTTTAAACCTAGTATTTAAGTTTCCGCACCCACAAAAGTTTGTGTGAAATTAAATTGTGTTATGACATTTGCTCTCATCTCTAGCTCTCCATGGGCCTTGTCATTCTCTGTTTTCCCGCGTTATATGTTTCTTTCTCGCGGTTCCCCGAAAAACATATCACCGATGTTCTACTGTAGGAGGTTATGAAACTTTGCTGCATCAGTGACGCTAACGATGGAGGATGATGGCATGAGGTGGGGTGGCATGAGGAAGGTAGTATGTTTCGTTAAATGCATTAGTTTTACCGGTGATTCATTTTAGTGGACGAGACTCTTTTAGGCGGGACCATATTCTATTTGGGGTGAGAGGAGGGTGCTTTTTAGGTCCGAGCTAAAAATGAGGACTGTGGACATGAAAAAATGATCAGTGTGTAGATATGAATCTAAGTCATCTGGTGGTATATTGTTGATGCTGGTAATATTTACGAAATATTTATATCTTCCTTAAGCTAATTAAGAACCTACCGTAAAATACCGCGGAAGCTCCGACTTCAAACAAGCGCCCACTATTAACATTTCCCAGACTTTGGAATTCTGCCATATGTATGTCAAGCGCCCACCCCCCCCCCCCCCCCCCCCCCCCCCCAAAGTGCCGGCATCAGCTGAAAATATTCACTCCGTTGCGGCGACCACTGGCGGGGATATTGTGAGAAAATGAAGGGACTTTCTTCGATTTCGTTCACTCTGCCTTCCTTTACTGGCCACCATCTTGGTTTTTACCAATTTAACCGGACAAGCGCCCATGTCTAGATCAACCCAATTTTGCAATTTTGAGTGAAAGTATTTTGCGGTATACGAGGTCAATTGTCTTGAACACAGCCTATTTTAGTGTTTTTTTTGTACTTTCCTGTATTGATTACCCTTAAGTTTCAGAAAGGACATAATATAAATACTGGTTGAGCTTTTTTTTTGTGTGTATTACGACAAGCGTTTAGATCGCAAATATAACATTTATAATTTGCCATGACAGCAGCACCTCCCGGGGTGCACCCATTGTCGTGTTTCGGCGGGCACTTTGAACTGTGTATCCTTTTACGGCAAAGACCGTCAAAGGGGTGCATTTTGCTAATAGTCGGGATGTCGTCAGCAGGCTGAGGGCACTAGCAGTGGCGTCTGCTGTCGAGGGTGCTTCTTTGGATGTTGACTTGTGTTCCCCCGCCCAGTGCCCGAGGATTGCCCCAGGAGTGCCCCAGAAGTGCCCCAGGAGTGCCCCTGCGGGCAGGTGGAAGAGCGGAGGGCACACCAGCGGGCTCGCTGGGCGATCCCCTGTCTTCGGCACGCTCTGCGGGACACTTTGGAGAGAATAAAGTGGAGCCACACGTGGTCAGCCTTCACTTTGTGCTCGGGTCATTGCACCTGCCCTGTGTGCAAGTTGAAGGGCCGTCTTGGAATACGCAAGCGAGTGCCTCACGTACACTGGAGTGCTGTTGGGGCAGAGCTGGCTGTGCAGCCTTGCTGTCTAGGACAGCCCGACTCGAGTGTCGGGTCGTGCTCTTGTGCTCCTGGACGGCCGATGGTACACACTGTAGTTGGCAGGAAACGTGGCACCTTCCCCTTGCAAACCACTTCTTGCCAGTAGACCTGTTGCGTGCAGCGCCGTCTGGCTACAGAATCGGTTGTAGCAGGTGGCAACTCCTTCTTCTCTTCCACTGTGACACGGTAAGCCTGACGAGGAGCTTTGGGCGTTCTTGCAAATTGGCAGGGGAGCCTGTGAGTGTTGGACCTTCTGCTCTAAAGAAGGACTTTGTGAGCAGCAGATTTCTTACGGAAATATTCTGTTTCAGGAACTAATGATCCACAATTATGCAATTATGTCGATTCTTTTATTATTTGTTCTTGAATTTGTATAACAAAATAGCCGAAATATTTTAGTATTTTTGTGTGTAATAGTCTAAATTTTTCTCTGGTTGGTCTCAAAATTGGTTTGGCACAATAGTAGGCACATCTGAGCTAGGTAGTAATTACTGTGCATGAGATCAGTGGCTCAGTCAGATTGAAAATTTGACAAAGGAATGTGGGCAGGTTAGCACTGGGAGCACGCCAAGCGAGCAGGGGGACAGGGGCTCCTTTGAGAGCCGAGAGGCTATTGGTAAAATTTTAAGTAAGGTTAACCGAAATGGATAATACCCGGTGGGCACGGAAATTGTTTAAGTATACATGAAAAATATAAACACCAAATGGACAAGCCGAATCCGAAAGCTGACATTTCAATACCTGCACACTAGTGAGGGGGCTGAGCAGGCTATTTCAGTGAAAGAGGCAGAAAGGAAAATGTGGAAGGGAAGAATGCGAGAGAAAGTGACTAACATTGTACAGTTCACAAAAAGGACCTACCAAAGGAAAATGTGTTTGATGATTTACGTGCGAGTTCTTTTCAAGGCGAGAGCAGGAGTGTTGAGGACCAAGACGTATAGGGCTCAATTTCAAGAGAGACGTTATGCGCCGTATAGACTTAGAACATTTGGTTTTGAAGTGCACGGGGCTTCGCCCTGTGCACTTCAAAACCGCTGGGTTTTGCTGGTGATGATGGGAAAATTGAGGAAGAGGAGGTTTGAAGCATTCAAAGATTGGTGGAAATTATCTAAAAAAGAGTTTAATGGAGTGCATATGGTTTGCTTTTTCCTACTTCACTCGGTTTTCTCTAAAATTTTACTGTTAACATTGTTTCTATTCCTGCGATTCTCTCTTCGTTCCACGTGCCCTGCAAGAGAACATGCCTGTTAGGCTTTTATCTATGCTGTTTTCTTTTTCAGACTTGGGATATAAACTTTTTGGTATTTCAACTTCTTGGCTGGCATTCAATATGAATCAAATTAGGTTTTCTCTTACCCTCATTGCCAAACACTTCCCGGTTTTGGAAAGAGTGTGGGATTTTACTTTATGTGGTTTTTGGCGTTGTGCAAAGCTCTGCCACCCGGTATTGTGCTTATTGATGCACTTTGCGATTCTTAGAAGCTGTGAACAAACTCTCACAAGCAATTCCGTTTTCCGTGCGATACACATTACTGTAGTCACCGCCGCATATGGACGGCTCATCATGTCGTCTTGACGAAGCATGCATCAAGTATGAAACGAGTGTTGATGCATCGGCCAAATGGAACGCAGAGTTTGCCAGGCCGTAAGGTTTTTATTAGAATTTTTTTACATGCAAAAGCAAATTGTTGTGTGCATGTTTGTACAGTTGGAAGTTAGTCTGCCTCAGTGGGCGTCTGGTGTCTCGGCTGTAGACAAGCAATTTAGCCAGTGCGGTACAACCGCTAACCTGGGGTCTTTAACGTGCGCCACGCAGTAGTGATACACGACCGCACGCCGGTACAATGCTCATCCGGATCGAGACGGGCAGGGGCGGGGATTGAACCCAGGATCGTTCTGCAGCGCGAGCTTTCGCTCCACGTGCTCAGAGCTGGTGTGCACTAGATCACTCGGCCACCGATCCCCCTTTTACATGGAGTTACCAACGAAGAACAGCCTTGTAGGCTTTGTGAATTGGGTCTATTAATGCAGAAATATGGTGCGCTTTATAATGATAGACCATTGTAAATTATAAAAAGTAAAATCAAATGTTTAAAAGTGACCTTTTAATGCACAGTCCCCGGAAAGGACAGGGTCGGACCGTTCCGCAAGAATTCATGCGTGGTGCATCCTGCTATAGTTCTTCTCTCCAGTTACAAGTGTTTAGGAGCACTCGCACGCTGGGCACGTTTCTCTGCTAGCACACCTAAATTCATGTAGCTGCGTTTGAGAACATTTTATTACATTATGTCGAGACGAGCTACTGTATCTGCCTCATGCATGCCGCCTGTCGAGCTAATCATTGGATTGATTGCCGTACATATTTTGAGAGAGGAAAGGACGAGGAGCAGAAAAGGACGACGAGTCGGCGCCCGAGGCAGCAGATTTGAATGGACAGCCCGTGCAACACCCTCAACACAGTCATTCATTGTGCATTGTAAAATGACGTTAAACTATCTTACGAGTGGTGGAGGTCAGTAATTTCCCCTACCTCTGCGCTCCTTCCTATCCACAGTTCTGCTCTGGAGCTCTGGAGTTTCCCACCATTGCCATTGCGGACTCGGAAGCCAGCACATCTCGGCAGCCCCCACCTCACAACCCTGTCAAGCACCGCCAGTGGGACCGTTCAATTTTCAGCAGCTTTTCCTATGTCAACGATTGACTGAAGCAGTACGACCGCGTCAGCATGCACAACCACTGGGTTGTGCATGCTGGCGAACGCGGTGTTTTTTTCCAAAAGACGCAGTGCTCCAGTGGTTTGACAACCATGAGGACGGCATAAACTCCTGGGATGGTTTCACGACCATTTTTTTTAAAGCATTCAACAAACCTGAGAGCTGCAAGCAACAGGCCAAAGACAAGCTGTCCCGCCACTACCAAACACCATCCGAGTTGTCCACAAGCTATACCAAAGATGTCTTTCGTCTCTGTCGATGCGTTGATGAATAGATGACCGAGAGCGACAAGATCTGACACCTTTTTGAAGGATTGTCTCGGGAACTTTTTTCAATTATAGCCCCGAAAACCCCCGCCACCATACAGCAACTAATATCAGAATGCCAAACATACGAAGAAATGCAGAGGTCCCGTATCACAAAGGTGCCTTTTAAACGCCTCCCTGAGGTTTCTCCTAAAACGGTCAGCACAACGAACCTCTCGGAACTGATCCGCACCATCATCCACTAAGAGCTACGATGATACTTCAGCCCACTACATTACTGACGACACCTCCGGTCAAGCCATCAAGATGGGGACCATCCAGAAAGTAGTACAAAACGAACTGCGTGCCGCTTTCCAGTCCTCCGTGCTCGTACACGCCTACACCGCCCATGTCCCAGACGTGTTTGCCTCCCTGCTGTATACAGCCAGCGCAACAGCGCTACAACACACCTTTTAATGTGCACGAGCCCCAAACACCACGTTTCTATGAACCACAACGCTGATCCGACCTGTGGAGAATGGAAGACAACAGGCTGCTATGTTTTTACTGCCGCACACCTGGGCACATCGCTCGCTATTGTCGCTGCCAAATCAATCAAGAGACGTCTTGCTGCAGGACAGCAACCCAATCTCGATACTGCAACTCTGACGACACCTGCCCTTTTCAGTTACCCGGGAACGGCCGTAGTCTGTCACCTTTCCCATATCCTGCCCGTCGTCGCTCAATTTCTCCGTTTAACAATGCTGCTGCTCCCTCGTACGCCAAACTAAGCGCGGCAGCCTGCAGGACACCGGAGGTCAGGCTGCAAACTCTCACATTGCAGCAAGTCCTCCACCCATCAGACCTACGACCATAATGTTAAAATTGCTGGACACAAATTTTCTGCCCTAGTCAATGTGGGCACTGCAATATCTTGCATCTCTGATGACGTCCGCAGCCGCTTACACGCAGGTCTGACCCCTGCGCATAAACTTTTCTTGCGTCTTGGAAGTGATGCTATCTGTGGGCCACTGGGATGCTCAACCTTATCAGTGTTCGTCGCTGGAACTCGCCATGTTTTTTTATTTGCCGTTTTAGGATTAGATTTCCTGACCTCAGCAGACGCCCTCATTGACTGTGCCAGCCGTGAGTTGCACCTAAGTACTTCTGACGCTCCTGGCGAATTACCTGACCAACCAGCTGCCGTTCCTTTGCACACAATAGATGACATCCTTGGGGCCCTTATCAGTCGGCTTTGCAAACCGAATCAGCGTTTTTCTGGAACCTCCGGCCTAATACAACCATAGGTGTAGAGTACGGGGGGGGGGGGGGGGGGGGGGGGGGGGGGGGGCGGCCATTGGGGCTCGGTTTCTTCCTACACCCCCCCCCCCCCCCCCCCCCGAGTCATGATCCTTACCGAGACGCTGTTTACGTGCCATGTAATGAGCTTCTAGTAGTGGCAATGTGGCATGTAAACAAAATAAAGCAACCATGTTTATTTAACCCAAGGCACACAGCGACGGACACATGGCGATATACATACGCTGTAAAATGTACCCCCTAAAATAAACTACTGATAATTTCCGGTGTAAAAAAAATAGCGCAGAAAAGCACCCCCCCCCCCCCCCTTCCCCGGGAAAATGGAAAGTACGCCGCTGAATACAACCATCCTCGCTCGTTTTTACAGTACGAGAACACAAAGTTTATATGTACGTCGCAAACGCTTCCCAACAGCAGCAAATTCTTCCTTGTGAAAGTTGTGCTGCTATTTTACGGACGTTCGAAGTACACAACATGGCCTCGCTGTATAACGACGCATCCCGTATTACAACATGCCTGCCTCCCATTAAAGACCACACAAGTTGCATCGCAGATATGATCGATCTGTCACTAAATGCTGAT